AGTGGGCCTAAAGAAGTTGTTTGTTCTAGGGGTCTACGCCCCAGACATGTCTAAGCCCACTTGTATCCGAGAGCAGTTTTGGGAGATGGTAAGGATGGTGTTAATGAAATGTAAGGAAAATGAAAATATTGTTATGTTAGGAGATTTTAATGGAAGGGTTGGGGTAAGGAGGCTTGGCTTTGAAAGGATACTGGGAACGTTTGGTGATGAAAGTATTAATGAGAATGGTGAAAGCCTCCTCACCGTATGTGTGGAAAGGAATCTTTTTGTGACGAATACTTTCTTTCGTCATAAGAAGATTCACATGTATACTTGGGAAAGAGGTGATGATAGAAGCATGATAGATTTCATAACTGTGGATGAAAGAATGAGGAGCGCAGTGGTGGATACAAAGGTTTACCGGGGGTCCAACGTAGGGATGGACCACTACCTGGTCTTTTGCCGAATTAGGGGTTTATTCAGACGTTGGTGGCAGAGTACATCTGTGTCTACCACTACGTTACAGCGTATAAGAATTGAGAGGTTACAAGATGAAGATGTGAAAGACAAGTATAAATGCAGACTGAGAGAAAATATAAGTAATTTGGATGAGTTGTTTGTGAATGAGTTAGACTTGGAGAATGTGTGGCATAATGTTAAGAAAGGTTTAGTGGATGCAGCTACCGAAGTATGTGGTGTTAGTAAGAGAACGAATGGAAGGAAATACAATACGTTATGGTGGGATGATGAGGTACGTATGGAAGTTGAAGCAAAGAAGAGAGCATGGTTAGATTTAGTAGCGACCAAAGCTGGTAATTCTGGCGGTAAGAATGATGAGAATGAAAGAAAAAAGGCAGAGTTTAAACATCTTAATAAGAGACTTATTTTTAAAAGCAAGTCTGAAACTAGTACACTGATAAGTAAGTAGCTAGGTCACCATTACACCTTGACATCAATATTAATACCTCCAGTCTTTATTAAAAAACCTTAAACATAGATTACATGATTTGACAGCTCTATGACTCACAGACTTAGTACTGAGTTGCGGCGCTAAAGGCCGCGGGTTTGAATCCCACATGGTACAAGTAATTGTAGGGCTAACAAATAATTGTTCCTGGTCTGAATATTTGTGCTTTGAAAATTTATGTTTACATACATAAACTGCCTCTACATTACAGGGGAAACCTTAGTGTGGTGGTAACATTATTTTAGAGAACAAAATGTATGTATATTAAACAAATATATATAGTTTTGTTCATAGGCTAATATTATTTTTTTCATGTTAAGCTTTCAAAATTTTTAATTTATACAGTGTGGCTAAAAATGGAAAACCTTATTACAAATTAACATTATTACAGAAATAATGCATTTCTGATTCCAGGGCAATTTTCCCTTTATAAAGATACATGGTAAATTAACATTATGTTGAATTTTAACTCACAAACAACACTAGACCTAGATGCCTAAACTCAAGTTTAATTTAGTTTTTATATTTAGCCATAAATATTAATATATCAATACCTAAATGTATGCATATTATATTATACAAAATAGTTACAGTATGACTATAAGAGAACTCGTGCCTCAATCATTTGCACATGAAAATTAACCTCTCAATCCCCTAGCGGTCTCATGAGATTGCAGCCATATTCCATCAAATCCCTCGCGGTCTCATGAGATTGCAGCCATATTCCGTCAAATCCCTAACGGTCTCATACGACCGCACCCACCCACAGCACTTTAACCCATAAAAACTTATATATAGACACTACTTTCCTATGAAGAAGTTTGGCATTATGGAATCAATATGAAATTTTCTATCCTTTGGTGCAATAAAAAACGGTTATCCTATGAATATTTATTTATAATCTATGTTCATTTCATACACTATTTTCCTGTGAATGTTATTGTGTTGATTTTTGGATTTTCTAGTGTTTTAGTATAGAGTTTTATTATAAAATTGTAATGAAAGTTTTTGTGTGAATATAATTTATCTTTTTACATAAATAATTTTGAGTAATATATATTGAAATAATTGTGATTTTCACGCTGCTGACATTCACTTGGTATGTTTTTTTTGTTATCAACATACAATAAAATCTTTTTGTAATGAAGTAAAACCTGAATTTTGTTTAGACCACAGGATAAAGAATTTTGTATAGATTTTATAATGCCAAACTTCTTCATAGAAAAGTAGTCTCTAAATATAAGTTTTAATGGTTTAAAGTGCTGGGCGCATGCAACTGCATGGGATTTTTATTAGGATTGAAGGGTTAATGCACACAAAATTTTTTCAATTGAAAATTTTTTTGGGTTCCTATTAATGCTCACTTCATTTAACAAACAACCGATGAGTTGTAAAGATTGTTGAAATTCTGTAGGAATGGTTTTATGTTCGTGTGTCACATTATCAACAGTAGTGTGTCTTTCTGAGTGTGTGTTATTGGGATTAGTGGTGACGGGGGTAATGCATGCACTGAGGGCGGTGCTCTTCAAACTATTTAAGACACACCATTTAATTTTATTATGGGGTTCTTAGCTAATTAGTTTTTAACATTTTTTACAAAACAATTTGTATATGTATGTTCCAGATAGCAAATCTAAAGTAAAATCAATGCAATGGGGAAAATGATAGGCCACCAAAGATATTCAGTTTCATAGTGCAAAAATTGATATTTAAGATGACAACTATTAACTTTTTATTATTCATATTGATTAGGAACTGCAATAAATGGATAACACTACACTAATTTTATTGGGTCAGGCACATGACACACAGAAGAAACTGTATCATGGTGCACAATGTAGATAATGCAAGAGCACACCTCTCAGGTTGCACTTGCCATACACCTTTTTTTGCTTGCCCTTTCCCTCTGCATAATACTAAGATTTCAGTGTGTAATAATTAACTTTTTTCTCTCAATAGTTACAAGTTCTGCTTCTCCATGTAACAAAGGGCTTTTAACCAGAATAACCTCACATGCTTCTGAAAAAAGCTATGCATCTCTGGTGGGGAATATCGATGGGCTTGACACCTCTTTACCCCTCAAACTCCTATCAAGACAAAAGTTTTTAAAATTTAGTTTTCCCGGAATAATGGTTATTATTAAATATTAGAATTTTTTTAAAAATGCATATAAAAAATCCCCCAATATTATGATGCAGAATACTAGTGTTAAACCTTTCTACAATCCAAAAGCTAGACTAGATTCATAGCTATACTGTGAAACCTTACAACTTTGCCCTTGGGGGACATCTTTGCCCAAACACGAAAATTAACTAAAACTACCGATATACATTTTATTTTAACAAATATCAACTTTATATGGTGTCTAGGGAAAACTAGAGTATATGTTTGACAGCACTGACTACTACAATCGCAGCTAACTATATTCAGGCAGCTGTCAGCAATCGTCAAAGGGACAGTGTTGAAGGTGGTGCAAAAACATTGTTGCAATTCTGCATTCCGCATTGCCTAGAAACGCTGCACAGATAAGATTCATTATTATTTATGTGTAGGGCATTATTGTTGCTGCTTTTAATCAAGGCCTCTTTCTTACACTTGTCTTAGTTAGCAAGAAAATTGTGAGGGTAATGTTGTAAGCAATTTTATAAACTGAGGTGGACAACATTGCCCAGCTCAAAAATGTTATTAGGGTTGACACTATTAAAAAAAAACAAAGAAACATGTACTAGGTATAATAAATATATAATAAAATGTAAATATATAGGTATACTTAATAAAATAAATAAATATACATAGGTATATAAAAAAACTATATAACAATAACTAATGTTAGCTGCAAAATAAACTACTGTTCTGATAACTATATATGTAACAAGATACTGTTATGTGTGTTAGATACTGTATTTGTGGGGAATTTTGTCAGAAACCGCTAGTTTCCCAAAAGAGCGAGAGCTTAAATGTTCTCAGTTTCAAGCTTAAGTTTTTAAATAAGATTTATGCGGAAATGGCCGACAAAATTGATTGGTACGCACAGTAGGTGAACCACGCACATCAGTGGTAACAAAATCAGTATAAGCTGGCCTCACTGAATAAGTATCATTGATTAAAACTACTTTTACGGATTTTATCGCGTTTATTTTACTATTATTTTTAATTCCCGATTAAATAAGTATCATCGCTGTCTACTTTTCCTTATCTCAACTATCAGGGTTAATTTCTGTGACAATTTTCTAGAACTTTCCTACCTAAACATTGATATACTTGATTTTTTTTTGTTGTTCAGTTAATTTTGCCCAGTACAGCCCTAGCACCTCAAATCTCTTAGTATCAAAGTGTGACTAAATGTGGTGATAACATTGCCCATCGCCATTAAAACTTAAAATGGACTTCTATTTATTTGAAAATGTAATGGTATACCATTTTGCCGGTTTGCTAACAATATATCTTAAAATTAAAGTCATAGAACTTATAGTTGCTGAGAAATTTAGGTTGAGCAAAGATGTAAGAAAGTGGAGATAACTTTGCCCGCATCTGTTTTTGTTTTTTTCTCAGCATCTGTTAGGAATTATGTCACCTGGTTTTGACAGTTTATTTGTTACATATAGTGTCGTTTCATCCATCAGCAACCATCAAAATAAAGTGGCTATTTTCTGAAAAAAGTCATAAAAACCGAAATATGTGGGCAAAGACGTAAGGTTTCACCATACTAAGTTAGTGCATTTGTTGACAAAACATTATTTACAAATAAACATTACTAAGATGTTCTTTACAACATTGTTTTCCCGTGTAAAAAAAATTATACTTGGTTATAATGTACACACAAGTTAGGTTTGATATATCGAGCTATGATGTCACTGTCGTAAAGGCGAGGTCGCGCGCGCTCGTCACCGCTCCCGCGCTGTAAACGCCGACGATGACGTAAACTTTATGCTAAGGTTAGCCGGAAGAAATTCCTATTATAAGCGCCTAGAATTGAGTTATTGCTAAAGCCAATAATTACTTATTACGCTAAAGTTTAACTAATTATTTGTTAAATGTATGTAAAACTACTTACCGTTTCTTTAAATCATCGTTTTCTTCGTACAATCTTTTGAGATCTATTTCTAGTTTTGCTTTTTCACGAGATGTATCATCTAACAACTTTCGGGCATCCTGGAGCTCATGTTCATACATTCCCTTGATATTGGACACCTCGCGTGTTATGACCTCCTGTGTAGTTTGAATTTCCCGACGCAAGCCTGAATTTTCACTTTCGAGTTGACGAACTTTGTCAATGTAAGCCGCGAGGCGATCATTGAGATTTTGCAGAGCATCTTTTTCTTGTAAACGACTGTGTCTCGTAGGACTAAGTGGACTGCTAGGACGACCGGCAGAACTCGAAGGGCGGCTGCCAACAGGAGTGCTTGATTGAGGAGGGCTTTGCACAGATGACACAACACTAATGTTTGACGACGATGTTACAGTCTTTTTTGTTTTGGATGACATTATGGAATAATTTTTGAGTCACAACAAACAACTTAAGCACAAAAATAAATACTACCCAACCTCGCAAACGAATCAAGCGTTGGATTCCAAGATCAATCAAATCCCCAATCTACTAGCGAACCCAGTAAAGACTTTACTCCAAGCGTGATCACGTGACTATGAGTCATGAAAAATGTTGCCATACTAGGGGATGCAACGCTAACGATACATCGATACATACATCGATGACTTAAAAACGTCGATGTATTGCATAATACAAGTTTATTTACCGATGTTGAATAATATACTTTTATTTCTTAAAAGACTGTATTTGCTTGGGAAATTCCAACATGATTTTAATAAAACGAAGAACATGTCTCCACTCGACAAAAGTTCGAACAAAAGAGGTTAATTCACGGACTCACTAGTGGATTCTACCGAATGATTAATTTGAGAAAGATTTATACAAATCAAATCCGAAAATTTAGCATCCCTGTTTTCATTGCATACAATTCGGTACTCATCAATATTTTTAACATTGGTGAACTTACAGAGGGACGCATTATAAAATCGATGTATTAATTCTTGCAAAATTGAATTACTTTAGTGTCTAAGTTATCCTTTCTTAGTCTTTTAGTTCAACAGCGAAAAGGATTATACATTAAGTAATTAACCTTCCTAAAAGTTCAGACAGCAGATTGCGTGCGCCATCTAGAATTGTAATAAATAATATAGCTACTAACATAATTTTTAGCAACACTCACAAAATATGAATACTAGTTAATTTATCAAATGAATTTTTCTTTTTCAATGATAACATAGAATATAAATTGTAACTTGGGTGCTTATTAGTTTAATAATTTAGAATTAAACTGAATAAAAATTAGAAACCAAACAGTTAGGTAATGTAAACAGTTCTCAAATCATGCAAGTAAATGTTGTTCAAATAATCCTGGATAAGCTTGTAATATCGTCAAAACACATAAAGAATTGAAAAAAGTGTGGTATTTTATTTAAAACCTTATACAATAATAATATAGAAGTATATTTAAAATATGTTTAAAAAAGTTACATGTTCTTTAGAGCGCATTAGTCGAAAGCTTCCACTGAAAGCGTTTTAAAACAATAATATGGTAATATAAGTGAATGATCCTGCACAGTATCCACATTGTTAACACATTTCTTATATTTATCAGACAAATAGATAAATAAATAAGACATGTTTTACGGATGTTTTGTATTAATTTAATTCTCGACATAATCACGAGGGGCACGTAGGTTTTTGACGTCCTGATGTCATAGTTACATAGTGTAAGTTGTAGAGATAGTGTAAGTTGTAATCTTACACTATCTTGAAGCCTTGGGCCCGGTCAACTCTGTATGGACAGAATGAAATACCTACGGGGGCTGAATTTAATTATTGCCATTTGTCAGATAAATGTCTTGTTTTATAATTAGTAAGATTTTTCTAAAGATAAATTACACTCAAAAATTTTGAATATAGAAATAATAATACATAGGAAGATAACTATGCCTGTCGTATTTTTCTACATTATTATATTAGAATATCCTTGACAGTAAAAGAAAAATAAATGTTTACTTTTTGTTTTGATTTTCAACGAGTAGAAAATTATATTTCTTACTGGTAACACCAAAATATCTAAATGATTATATAATTCTCATTTCTCAAAATATGGCGCCGCCGTACAAATTATTGTTGTTCATGATCGGTTGTTATGTTTGTTTTGCTTGTGTCTTTTTCTAAGATTTTGCAAGTTTACGATGTTGAGCTGAGATTAATGTCCTTCGTTTATATGATGTGCAATTTGTTAGTCAATGATTCGTAGTGAAATTCGAAATAGTGACTCTAAAAACTACGCTGCAATGGCGGATAAAGAAAATAGAAAAAGTGTTCTAAGTGCAACAGCTTACCAACCATTGACAACATTAAATTATTTAGGTTTCCGAAACCCGCAGTAAAGTATATTTTGCGGTACGTATACAATATACATATACACTATTTAATAAGTTCTAACCTTAAAGTAAATCTCTTGTTCAACTTATTGTTTCTCTTTAACTATTTTAAAAACAAATTATTGGTTTGTAAACCATTGGACCTACTTTGATAATATTTGTATTTAATAATTATATCTTTTGTTTTCAGCGTAAGTTGTGGGCGAAATATTATATTCCTTCCCAAGAGCAGTATACTACTTCAGCTTTCCAGACAAAGCTACATAATAAGCCCAGAATGCTGTGTGAAAAACATTTTCATGATGGTTGATTTAATGATGCAACCAAGAAAAAGCTCTTAAGAACTGCATTCCCATGTGATGTAAGTAAAGTGTATAATGTATATGGTAATATGGTATGTATATAGTTTTCTTTAAGGATTACTCAGATATTTTATATGGGGATTACTATATTCAGGAGTGGACTTTGATAGACAGTAATGAAGATGATGATGATTATTCATATGACCATCATCTGGATCTAACATGGATGGACAGACCACATACAGTAGTTTGAATCCTGTAAATGCTTTAAACTAATTTATAATAATTGGACGGACAAGGCATCCAAAGGATTGAAGTCTATAACTCTATAAAGTTAGCACAAGCCCTTCCTTACATTATTAAAAGTGCAACACACTGCATATTATTTTTAACAATCAAATTTTTTTTAAAACAACAACAAACCTCAAGAAAGTTCAAGCATCACAATCTATGAATAATTACATTTCGTCCTAAACCTATCAAATTTAAAGGCACAACTTGTACAACACAGTAGAAATACATGCATCGAATGGTTGTCAAATAATAGATAAACACTAGACTTCTTTTCACATAGTTATTGTATTTACTATCTAATTTTGTTATATTAATTGTAATAGTGGGTGTATTATAGAGCATGTTGGATGAACAAGATCCATTCATTTATTTTGTATTGGTAGAGGGTAACGTAGTGCCGTGAGCACGGACTGGTTTACTGTGAAAGTAATGTCAGTGAATATAATGTTAATTTAATTTTATATAATAATTTTATGATACTATAATTTATTTCAATTTTTATTTATTTCCAGACTAACAAAGTGTATTCCCATTTTATTTTGTGGAATCACAAGCTGGCTCCTCGCAAATTATTGCTGCAAAACCACAAGCAGGATCTTCAAAAAGGGCAACATTATATCCACTGAAGAACAACCACAAACATCAAAGCATAACAGATAACGTCGAACCTGAAAAAGAAAGTACTCTATATGAAAATTTTTAAAATTATAATAAGGAATATTTTTGTAATCTAATATTTAATATGTTTTATAATTTTGAATTAAAATTATTCTATTTATAAGCTCATTCAATACTTAATATATTGCATATAATATAGAGACAAAAATTTTAGTGTCAATTCAGGGAAATTTTATACGTGGTAGAGCCATGCTGCAGTTATATTAGAAGTATAGTTGTAGCACGAATGGGTCGGCTCGACCGGGGAAGGACCACGCTCTCACAGAATACCAGTGTGAAATAGTAGCTTAATGCTGCTGTATTTCGTATGGTGAGTGTAGAGAGCTGGAGACCCTTTTTACTGAAAACGAGGGATTCCATCTTAGTCCTCACGGGTGACAACGTATCTGCATTTTGATTCGTAATTGAGGATAGATGTGGATGTCTATGGGCCACAGCAACCACGTACGATCAGGTGGACTGTGTGTTCATTTGTCACCCTATCCTATAAAAAAATAGGTGGAGAACCAAATATTATCATAACAAAATTATTATTTGTGAATTATGCACTTGTGTGTAGGAGCTTATTTATTAATTAACTTGTTTTTGATTAAAATATTGATATTTGGGTTATTGTAGACATTCTGTGATTTGTGATTGTGCATATTATCGATTCATCCATGATTGTAAATCTTATATATATTGTTTACTCAAGTAATTGAAATGTTGTAATCAATATTGATTTTCTTTTCATGTTTAAACCCATCAAATGTCTTTATAGAAAGAACTAAGCTGCTGGAGAAATTTTGTCTTAAGTTATATATGTTTTTTTTTTATTTTGAATAATTAAATAGAATTTTTATAATTTTTGTTCTTTTATTTAGCGCTGGGATATGCAACCCAAAAATACCTCAAATAAAAAAACCAAAAAAGACCACGTTCAAATTTCCCGCCACACGAGAAGTGCAGGAGGCTGACGATAGATGGAGCTAGTGGTTATATATAGCATTTCTTAAATTTTGTATGAAGTTGTCGTTCTTCTCCGAAAGGAGTAATAGTGTTCTGTGAGTAGTATGCTTGGATCTGGATTTAATTTTATTAATTATAGGATTTGGTAATCATCTGCCTGGTATCTCCGGTCAAGAAACTTATCCCTCAGCCAACTTCGGATTATGATATATTTAGGATTTTAGATTTCGGATATGATGAGGATGTTTTTAATTTGAATAGTCTCGCGAAGCATTTTTGATAGGAATCGGTGTTCTTTTCCGAGGTTTTGTAGTCTATAAAATCTGATGTAATGGTTGGGACGATCTTGAACGTGTTGACGACATACTGCATACTTCCCAGAGTGTTAGCGATTCAAATCACCTTTATGTTCTTTAATGCAAGTTTTTAGGGATTTTTTGTTTGTCCTATGTAAGACAGGCCACATTCAAAATCAAATTTATACAATTCTGCGCTTATAGAGGTGTATTACATTGATATAGGGTGGCAAGAATTGACTTTTGTGGCAAGAAGTGACAAGTTTTGACAACTATTTATTATCAAAATACCTGACCTCGAATTGTGTTATTGAATAATCAAAAGTAGGTACTAGGTACATACATTGATGTTTAACTTTCCTTAACTCGACAGAACATTTTCTTTGGTAAATTAGTGCTTTCTGCTTTTACGAATTCATCTTTCATGATGTCATTTCAATAAAATATATAGCGTTTTAGCAATTTGAAGCACGGAATAAAACAAATATTCTTGAAATTGAATTATAAAATTTATAATGCATTTTTATAAATAGAAATCAACATTTCTAGTTTAATTTTTACAAAACCTCTCATAAATACGTAACACGAGTTCTTCTCTACATGTACCCTATTACCAATAACACTTATTGTAAAATAAATTAACTATTTTCAAGTTTGTTAAAATTTCTACATTACTTTAGCTTAAAATAACAGAACAGTTAGATGGAATAATACAAAAAATGATAGCTATGTAATAAGAGTATAATTATATAATTATAGTTTGTTTCATAAGATTATTAAAATTGACACTCGTTAATATCGATATTAGAAATGGTAAAAATCGATTCTAAAATATATAGTACGAATATTGGAGTTTATTATATATATATATATATATATATATATATATATATATATATATATATATGGATAATATAATATACTTTACTATAGTGTGACTAGATTTAGTAGAATTCTGATTTTTTGGTAAATTTAACTTTTCAAAAATTATTTGGTGGCGGTAAATGATTTATGATAATTGTTGATTTATAGTTGTTTTTGATATCTTGACTTTTTGATAGAAATATGTCAAAAATTTGATTTGCTTGACTTGTCAATGGTATTTCTGTTCATCAGAGTAGTTTTACAAACACAATTAGGGAATTCCCTTTATGAACTTTACATTTTGAATAAAACTAATTTTACGAAATTTATCGCGTTTAGATTTAACTAAATTCCTGATGTTTCAGGAAACTTTTTAGCATCGACGATCACGAGGGGACTGAGGTGTTTCCCGGTGGGTCCAGATGGCATACTTAACTAAAGCTACGTGAACTTTTAACTATTAATTTTTAATATTTAGATATAATATTGAACAATTGATAGTTAAAATTAAAGTTATATCACTTAGTGGTTAGCCACCGCAGAGTCTACATCACCTAAGGATACCTCGTATAGAAGCAAAACACGTGTCGTATTATCGTCGATGGTGTGTCTTTTCTCGAGTAGTTGTGTTGGCAGTAGTGGTGCTGGTATTAGTGGTGACGGGGTTAGTGCACGCAATTTAGAGAGGGTTAGAGGTGCTCTTCAAACAAGGTAAGACACGTCATTTTATTTTATTGAGCGTCACACTATAGATATAGAATTGATTGACATTGCATATCTATATGACTGGAATGGTTGTCTCAGTCTGTCAGTCTCAGCTGGTCGATACCTGCTCGAGTCTTTATGTTATTTGATCACTCTTATATGCACACTTAATAATTTCATGGTCAAAATAAAAGTCTTAAGCAAATTAGTCTTAAAAAAAATAATAAGCGATAGTTAAATAAAACCCCATATCCATAACACGCGAAAAAACAAAGCATCTAAGGATGCATTGAGAAATAAAATATTAACGAAAACCCCTTATATATGTTATTTCTTCTTTATTAATTTTTACGCGAACGCATGTGCCGAAACGAAGTTTGGCAAATATTTATTTAAATCTGTTTTATTAAGTGTAATCAGTACATTAATTTGTGAATCTAGAGAGTCTCGCATCTTTTCGGATCATCATCATCATTATTACAGCTCTTCAAAAGTCCGTTGCTAAAGTTAGGCCTCCCCTAATGAATGCCGCAAACCACGGTCTTGAAAAATCTGCATCTATCGACTTCCAGCATGTCATACCAAGTTGTCACTACATGTGCAACATTTGCATCTGTAAATCGTTTCGGATGATAAGCTAAAATGGACGTTGTTGCTTTAAATCTTACTTTAACGTCACATTTCAGTCAATGGTAGTATTATAGGCATTCGTCGGTTCTTGTCCGAACGGTATACTCTACTCTACTCTCTCGTTCACTTGCTCCTGATATCTTGCGAGTGTATGTGTATGAAAAGAGTTATTATATCAATTAACAATCAGCGTTCGTAAACGTTTTTTCTAGTACAGTGCTAAGATACATCTCCTATTCATTCATCTTTCGTGAACTACACAGGACTAGACTAGTCGGTTTTACTGCCAAGGCGCGGTAATTGATGTTTCAAATTAAAAGTAATTTGGAAAATGATATAAATGTATGAGGTGGTTATTTCGTTTATTTTGTATTGAAAATATGATCAAAATTTTCGCGCAGACTGGGATCAAAATATTGTTTAGTAAATATTTATCGAGATATCGAGAAAATATTGTTACGAGCTAAGCGTTCGTGACAATAAAAACTGCCGATTGAATTACCAAAATTGACACTTTAATTACCGAACACCAATTAAAACTTAAATCATACTAATAATTATTATTCACACTTAACACTTTTGTTCACTTTATTTCACTCTGAAAGCTTCGCTCGTATCGCTGATTCAATACTACTGCGGTCACGGCCCTCAACGGCTTTAAATAGGCCTTTTCCAGAAAGTTCGAATGTCGAGCTACTCCATTCAATACTAGATGGCGCTAGTGGGAGAGTTCTAGAAAGATCTTGATGCTCCTATTTCTGCTACTTGATACCAGATGGCGCTAATAATCAGCTGCCACATACCAGGCACTAATTACAGCGCGCAACAATACATTTAGTACTCATTGCAAACATGAAGTTATAGGTAAGGACCTATAACTTCATGTTTTTTTGTAACTTTATCTATAACTTCATGATTGCAAAGCATATAATTTCTAAGACTTGATCAGAGAGGCTTCTTTAAAAGTATGAATTAAAGTTAATCTTACAGCCTATATAATGTAAGTCCCACTGCGTGCTGGCGAACGGCACATGTCTTCGAAATATTATTTTCTTTCTTTCTTTCTTATTTCTCAGACATGCAGGTTTTCTCACGATGTTTTTCTTCACCGCCGAGAACGTGGTAAATCAGCACTTAAAATTGAAATTAACAATTCCCTTGGTGCCGGGGGGGGGGGTCGAACCCTGGCTGCTCGTGTACGTTGCAATTTTCAGTGAGCGCTTAGCCTGTGAACTTTCACGGCTCTAAGAGCCGTGGTAGTTCAGGGGCTAAGCGCTCGTTGTAAAGTAGTTATGATATATGATATGATACGTAGGTACTTTGAATATAATTATATTACTTGAGTTTTTGATACTGTTTACTGTTTGTTGTGTCTTTATGTCACAACTCACAATCAATAAACTGACATTCGTTAACTAAGACGGTATAATTCGCGGAATACTTAAGTTCATTTCTGTAAATGTTTTTCTGAACCACTGCAATAATTTAATTTAATTTTATGATTATTAGAATAATGTATTGTGTCTATTAAATAACAAATATTTTTAAAGTAAGGAAGCGACATGCATTATCAATATTAATATGCGGCTATTATTTTATGTAAATATTACGTAGAAAATAGTTTTTATTAGTAGAATTTGGTGGATTTTTCTCCTCTATTTAGTAGATTTATTAAAAATAATCTGGTCATGCTATTCACATTCACCTTTTTGTTCATTATATATTTAGTCTGTGTATTTTGTTTTCGTAAGTCTATTGTTGCCTATTGCATATTGCCTTATTCTGATATAGTAAATATAACATCTTATTTTATTGTTGAAGTTGAAGAGACTTCTTGGTATTATTGAGGAGAGGAATGTCATGGTGTATTAATTTAGTACGTGAAAATGCATTTTTCAATCCCTGACGTGCAGCAATTTCGTGATGATAATGGGATTACTTATACGGTAATAACATCCTCCCTCTCAATATAACTTTGATAAAAATGTACTTTTTGCAAGACCTTGATGTTAGCTAAATTTAAGATCAAAATTCTGCTTTAAAAATGCAAATTGTAAAATTTTATCCGTGTCCTTTCTTGCTTTTAGGCATTTAACATCTACATTGATGGATTTTTTCATTGTACTGCTCGCTACAAGCAATTGCTCAGTCTTCATGAACAGCTTCAGTCGCAGAATCCCTACTTGAAACTCCCCCAGTTTCCACCCAAAAAGCTTTTTCTTACAAGTTCACAAATAGAAGAAAGAAGGATTTTATTAGAAAAATACATTCAATTAGGTGGTATTCTTTTGCCGTATTTGATTTGTTTTTAGTCAGTCTATAGTTTTTCTCATGTTGTGGTTTTTATTTTTAAAATAAGTCAAATTTGTGTAATATTAAAGATACCAATGTTCTTTTTCTTTGCCTGTGATATAGGTATAAATACATTAAATTTACATTTCAAATAAAAAATATGTTAAATTTCTTGAAAGATAAAAAAAATGATTGTGTAGTAGTGTCTTCAAAGAATACTATAAGTAATCTTTGAAGTTATATAATTCCTTAATTAAAACAAATTAATTGTTATGATTTTAGAGTCAATATTGACCTTTATTTGAACTGTTTCAGTTGGACAAAACCCTATTTTGGCTTACTCTGACATTCTCATTACATTCCTTTTCTCTGCGCAACAAGAAACTCATTGCGTCAGAGTACATGAAGTGGACATTGAAATTTCTCTGATGAACGGCTACAGAATACCATTATCAGTATCATCAACAGACTCCTCAGGGACTGTGTTAGATATTGCCTGTAATTATATAAATTTGCCAAAAGAATATGTAAAGTTTTTCTCATTATATCTATTTAATTGGAGCTGTGCAAAGGATGGGCAACCATGTTTAAAAAAATTAGAAGAATATGAATCTCCATACATATCTCAGAAGTATGTTAGACCAGATGATAAAATAGTAATTCGCAAAAGGTAGTTTAATACTGTCATTTGATTTTTTTAAGCTTTTAACCAATTAAGTAGATTTTTTATTTCATTTCTTTTTATTAATACTAAACTACTATATATATAATATATATACTATTTATTAATAGTGTTCCAACTCTATTATCTAGGTATATATCTATTTAATAATTGAAGTCAGTTGTGCTCTTTTAAAATATCCCATCTAAGGTTTATTCACCCCCAATGAAAAAGAGGGCTGTTATAAATTTGACCGCTATGTATTTGTTTGTTGCTATGTATTGTATGTCTGTCTGTGGCTCTTAAATGGGTGAACGGATTTGGGTGCGTTTTATTAATTTAAAAACAGGGTTTCTAGCAGTAGTTCTTAGACTTCTTTTATTAAAATCCTTTCAGCTGTTTGAACATCATCAGCTTTCTGTTTTGAGGGGTTTTTTAAATTTTCAATTGAAGTTATTTAACATTTTCTTTTTTAGTTACTGGGATCCTCGTTATGACATTGATGTAATGTGTGATAGAGTTGCTTTAGATCTTTTATATTTACAAACTATAGAAGATATTGATTTAGGATGGATTTATATAAACTCCCAAACTAAGGATCTATTAAATACACATGAATCAAGAAAAGAGAAGAAAGAGGTGAGTTCTATGCTTGTATTGTTCTTATGTTGTCTTAATTGCATTATTAAGCTGAGTTTGGTTTGTTTGTTTAATGCATGTAATTATAACGTACTATAACATTGAGTACATTTTATTTTGGTAAAATGTTTTTTGATTATATCTGATAATGATAAATAAACAAAGACATTAATATTTGTTTTTTCAAATTGTTTTAGTTTGTTGTAAAATGTTTTTTTCTGTTTCTCTCTAAATTAAGATGGTTTAATATAAATGCTACACATGGCAGAGAAAGATTATTGATTACATTAAAAGAATCCCCATATCCTTAATATATCCGCCCATGGGTATCATAACTGGCGACAGATGGACATTAAATGGGAGAAGGTGGGCATCGTCTTCCTGATAACTAATCTAAATAATAAAAATGTGCAGTTGCAAACTCGCCAGCGAAGCATGATAACTATAGCAAATATTCTTATCTTTTCTTTTCTGTTCTATGTTTAGCAATGGACTTGTAATGATCTGCAATGATTGATTATAAATTAACGGTAACCTGTTTCCTGTTCTTTATCATGACCGCAAATTCTATTGCTGTCTAAAATCACCATGTTTGCCAGGCAGGTTGGCAAACACACTAACAAAGACGATGCATGTCTTAACTATGGACTAACTGTCTAGATGTTTTATGTTGTGTGTTACGTAGGTGAAAATGAGATGATTGTACTACCAACTAACAAAAGTCCTGAGATTTATCTAGCACTGTGCCCTGCGGTTTGACACGCGTATATCGCGTGTCTGAGCCGTGCGTTTTAAATCGCTTAGTGGTGGACCGCCAGTCATCCAGATGATATGGATGGTATCGAGAGCTTTGTCGCGATGTGCGATTATGAAACTATGCGGCTGGAATTAGTCCATACAATTCCTCAGAGCACTCCCCGTGGTAGATGCGATAAAATACGCAAAGAGATGCTACATGTAGTAAGTAACTGATAACTGAAGTCTAAATATTTTACTTTTTATGACAGATGGCGCTGTTTCGGAAACGTACTATGTAGATCGTTTGCGTAGTTTCAAATTATTACATAACAGTTAAAACAAATTTAAACACAGTTACAGTGGTAGAGCCACGCGGCAGCTTTGCTGTTGCACGTATGGTCCGGCTCAAACCGGGGTGGTACCACGATCTCACAGAATACCGGCGTGAAGTGGAAGCTCTGCTTTCGCGTTTCGTCCGGTGAGTGCAGGTGGCCGGAGGCCCAAAACCCCCTCCCCCCATCAACATGGTAGCGGAATTAAATGATAGACTACCCCAGGAGGGTACCAGCACCCCTGGAGAATTCCTCGCTGAGCATCCACGACCATGTTTCTTCACTTCTGAGCGTGGGTGCTCAGGCTGCCCCGCGTATTCTGGGGGGGGGGGGGGCAAAATTCCGCTCAAGACTACAACTCCTCGGGGCAAACGGAGCAACAAGACCAAGGCGACCCCTGCCACGCTGTCCGTGAATTTCTGCAATATCAGGGGACTTCACTCTAACCTAAACGCCGTCCACTACCATCTCGAGACGGCGAGGCCGGCTCTGCTCTTTCTGACCGAGACGCAGGTGTCCTCTCCGGCTGATGTTTCGTATCTATCCTAACCGGGGTACAAACTGGAACACTCCTTTGTGCCTCGGGCTGGAGTTTGCGTTTACGTCAGAGAGGACATCTGTTCTCGACGCCTCGGCAGACTTGAAGGTTCGGACCTGTCCATCCTTTGGCTACGCGTAGACAGCGACGACCATCCGCGCGTCTACGGTTGCCTTTATAGGTCCCATAGCGGTAATGCCGAAACAGACCGACTCTTCGACCACGTCCAAATGGCTGCAGATTCGTTGCTACAGCAGATGCCCTCCGCAGAGATCGTGATCCTCGGCGACTTTAACGCTCATCACGCCGAATGGCTTGGTTCACGTTTAACCGATCATGCGGGGAGATCTGTTCATGATTTTGCCTTGGCATATGGTCTGACACAACTGGTTACTTCGCCTACGCGGATTCCAGATGTGGAGGATCATGCACCTTCCCTATTGGACCTTCTGCTGACTTCACACCCGGACGGATATCAGATTTCCCTCGACGCCCCTTTAGGCTCCTCGGACCATTGTCTTGTCCGGAGTGTGATGCCACTCACGCTGAAATCGCGGTTGCATTATGCAGGCTGCCGCCGTGTTTGGCACTATAGGTCAGCCGATTGGGATGGGATGCGGTCTTTCTTTGCATCCTACCCTTAGGGGCGGGTTTGCTTCTCGCCGGACGATCCCAACGTTGTTGCGGATTTTGTCGCTGATGTGGTACTTCAGGGTATGGAACTTTTTATTCCTTCCTCTGTGGTGCCCATTGGAGGCAAATCTCAGCCATGGTTTGGTCGCTCCTGTAAAATAGCATCATGCTATAAGCAGGAGTGCTACCAGGCCTGGGCTGACGCATCAGTGTCCCGGGGTGTAAATACCAGCGCTCTAAAAAAGAAGTATAATTCCGCCTCTAGGTCCTTCAAAAGAGTCATTGCCAAGGTAAAGTCAGAGCACATAGGAAGAATTGGCAAGAAACTAGTTCGCCTTCCTTCTGGAACCCGTGCATTCTGGTCTCTCGCTAAGGCTGTCCAGGGGAATTTCTATCAGCCATCTCTTCCATCTCTGCACAGGGAGGACGACTCACTGGCCCATACCGCAAAGGAGAAAGCCGATCTTCTAGGCTCTTTCTTTGCGTCTAACTCGACTCTCGATGACGGGGGGAGTACGCCGCCGACCATCCCGTGGTGTGAGTGCTCCATGCCGGAAGTGCAGTTCACACAGCGCTCGGTTCGCAAAGCACTCCTCTCCCTGGACATCCACAAGTCGAGTGGGCCTGACGGAATCCCCCCAATTGTGCTGAGGACGTGTGCTCCAGAGTTGGCACCGGTTTTAACGCGTCTTTTCCGGTACTCCTACTCCCTAGGCGTAGTCCCAAAATCATGGAAGACGGCTTTCGTACACCCGATCCCTAAAAAAGGCGACCGCTCAGACCCGTCCAACTACCGGCCTATCGCCATCACCTCCTTGTTCTCCAAAACAGTCTATTGTAAACTGCCAGCTCATGAGGTACCTTGAGGATCACCAGCTGATTAGTGATCGCCAATACGGTTTTCGCCGTGGTCGGTCAGCTGGTGATCTTCTGGTCTACCTAACTCACAGATGGGCGGAGGCAGTAGAGTCCAAGGGGGAGGCATTGGCCGTTAGTTTGGACATTGCGAAGGCCTTCGATCGGGTTTGGCACAAAGCGCTTCTTTCGAAGCTCCCTTCTTATGGGCTTCTCGAGAAATTGTGCGATTGGATCACCAGCTTTCTTGCAGATCGGAGCATCAAGGTCGTTGTTGATGGTGCAAGCTCCGATTGCAAGCCTATTAATGCTGGTGTTCCACAGGGCTGCGTGCTTCGCCAACGCTGTTTCTTCTACATATCAATGATATGTTGCAAACCCGTAACATTCATTGCTATGCAGATGACAGCACTGTTGATGCTCTTTACACCGGTCGAGCCAATATTTCTCGGGAAAACGTCTCCGAGTGCCGGGACAAACTTGTGTCTGAAGTCGAGTCTTTGCTGAACAGAGTCTCGGATTGGGGCGACTAAATCTAGTCCAGTTTAACCCTCAGAAGACACATGTTTGCTCGTTAACTGCTAAAAAGAACCCCTTTGTCGTATCTTCTCAGTTTCAAGGCACTTCCCTTGTTGCCTCAGCCAGTATCGGAATCCTTGGCGTCGACATATCGAGTGACGTGCGGTTTCGTGGTCACTTGTAAGAGAAGGCCAAATTGGCCTCTAAAAAGCTTGGCGTGCTCAGCAGAGCGGGACAGTATTTCATGTCGGCACACCGCCTGCAACTTTACAAGGCGCAGGTTCGGCCGCACATGGAATACTGTTCCCATCTCTGGGCTGCGGCTCCCCAGTACCAGCTCCTTCCACTTGACCGCATCCAGCGCAGAGCGGCTCGAATCGTCGACGACCGAGTGCTTTCCGATCGGCTCGATTCACTGGCATTGCGAAGAGATGTTGCATCTCTTTGCATTTTCTTTCGCATATACCATGGAGAGTGCTCTGAGGAATTGTTCGGATTAATCCCAGCCGCCAAATTTCGTGAACGCACTACGCGGCAAACGTCCCGATACCATCCACACCATCTGGATGCTTGGCGGTCCACCACTGTACGTTTCAAAAGGAGTTTTCTTCCGCGTACAACCTTTCTGTGGAATAGTTTACCACCGGCGATTTTTCGGGACCGATACGACCTGGGGACCTTCAAGAAAAGAGCTTACTCCTTTCTAAAGGGCCGGCAACGCACCTGCAATTCCCCTGGTGTTGCGGTTGATCATGGGCGGCGGTAATCACTTAACATCAGGTGAGCCGCATGCTCGTTTGCCCCCTCTTCTATAAAAAAAAACTTTAATTATCATTATTGGATTTGTTTAAAAAACAATACGTTATCCCGCTTATAACTAACAGAATCATACATAATAGAAAATTAACTTCTAAAGAAAGGAAAATATTTAAGCCTCTTTTTTTGAGTTCCGTAATCGGATAAAAAGAAGCTTATAAGTAGCCCCGGCCCACTAACTGTCTGCATACAAAATTTCATGGAGATCTGTCCAGTAGTTTTTGTGTGAATCTTTAATACACAGACAGGCAAAAATTCTAAAAAACCTCTTTTCTTGAGGGTGCCTAAGTCGTATCGGTCCGGAAAAATCGCCGGTGGTAAAAAATTCCACAGAGAAGATGTACGAGGAAGAAAACTCCTAGTAAAACGCACAGTAGTGGACCGCCAAGCATCCAAATGGTAAGGATGGAATCTTGAATTTTGACGCGATGTGCGTTCATGAAATTTGCCAGCTGGAATTAATCCGAACAATTCCTCAGAGCACTCCCCGTGATAGATGCGATAGAAAATGCAAAGGGATGCAACATCCCTACGCAGCGCCAGTGTATCGAGCCAATCAGAAAGAACTCTGTCGTCGACGATTCGAACCACTCTGCGCTGGATGCGGTCAAGAGGAAGGAGCTGGCACTGGGGTGCTCCGGTCCAGAGATGAGAACAGTATTCCTTGTGAGGCCGAACTTGCGCTTTGTAGAGTTGCAAGCGATGTGCAGGCATGAAATACTGTCTCGGTCTGCTGAGCACGCCAAGCTTTTTAGAGGCCTCCAAGTGACCACGAAACTGCACACTATTCGATATGTCGACTCGAGGATTCCGATGCTAGCTAAGACAGCAAGATGAGTGCCTTGAAACTGAGGAGATACGATTAAGGGGTTCTTTTTAGCGGTAAACGCGCAAACTTGTGTCTTCTAGGGATTGAACTGGACTAGATTTAGTTGCCCCATTCCGAAACTTTGTTCAATAAAGACTCAACCTCAGACACAAGTTTGTCCCTGTACTCGGCGACGATTTCCCGAGAAATATTGGCACGGCCGGTGTATAAGTTATCACCAGTGCTGTGTATGTAGACGACATGGCAATGAATGTTACCAGTTTGCAACAAATCTTTGATATGCAGAGAAAACAGCGTTGGTTATAGCACGCAGCCTTGTGGAAGGAACACCAGCGTTTATAGGCTTGTAATTAGAGCATGCACCGTCTACTACGACCTTGATGTTTCGATTAGTAAGGAAGCAAGTGATCCAATTCCACAATTTCTCGGGAAGCCCACAGGAAGGGAACTTCGAAAGAAGCGCTTTGTGCCATAGCCGATCGAAGGCCTTCGCTATGTACAAACCAATGGCCAATGCCTCCCCTTTGGACTCTACTGCCTCCACCATTGTTGAGGTCACAGGTCCACATGAGTTAGGTAGACTGGAAGATTACCAGCTGATAGACCACGACGAAAATCGTATTGGTGGTCACTAATCAGCTGGTGATCCTCGAGGTACCTTATGAGCTGGCAGTTTATAATGGACCTCATTATTTTGGAGAACAAGGAGGTGACGATAATCCTGTAGTTAGATGGGTCTGAGCGGTTGCCTTTTTAGGGATCGGATGGACCTAATCTGTCTTCCATGAATTTGGAACTGCGCCTTGAAAGTAGGAGTACCGGAAAAGACGCGTAAAACCGGTGCCAACTCTGGAGCACAATGGGAGGGACTCCATCAGGCCCTTTCGACTTGTTGACGTTTTTTTTTTTTTTTTTTTTTGATTTTCCACCAAGGAGTATACCGTCCTTGACGGGAATTTATTGACATTTTTACACAATAGGTTACATTAAATGGCTTACACTATATTTTGCAAGCTGTTATTCTCTAAGACAAGATAACTAACATCAATGCGATTTGATACATTGATTAGGTATCGGTCCATTTAATATTATCACTATTATAAAATTATTTTTCACTGAATGAAATTATTAATAACAATATAAATTTGTATAATTATTCCCAGTAGCATTACATATTTTAGAAAATTAGAAAGAGTACCGAATTAACAAAAAAAAAAAAAACGAATAGAAAAAATTACAAAATTAATATAAATATAATACAGGGTATTCTTATGTCTACTGCTTATAATTTAGTCCTTAGCTTATAATTTATTAACATTCATTAAATTTGTGCCTTATTATCAATAATATAATATGAGTCATTAAGTTGTACAGATATGATTAGCAAACGAGCATAGGTAAATGAAAGAGATTTACTTATGTTATATATACAAGAAAGGTGAGAAAATAAGATTTAATTTAAGTAAAATACAAGGTATTCCTATATCTATTGCTTAGGAGTTAGACTATAGCTTATGATTTATTAACAATGATTAAAGCTAGTGTCTTATAACCAAAATAATGTATGCAACGATTCGTGCGAACGTGATTAGCATATAAAAGAGAATTATAGAGAAGTTGTACATAGCCTTATACAGTTTTTTTTTATTATTATTATTATTATTATTATTACCAGAGTAATCTTAGATTTACATATTGTATTCTTAAGAACAAAGATAAAGTTTGAAAGGAGGAGTGATAATTATATATGTTAACTTAAATTATAAAAGTTATTAGAAAGTTTATACACAATTTATATCCTATGTATATTAGTTTAAATAATTTACAATTTATTGAATCCTTTAAGCTTATCTATGATGTAATTAATAAATGTAACGAAGGATTCAATAGCACTTTGTTTATTTGAAAGTTCCGTTACACAGTACGGTGATATACGTAGATTGCTACAAAGCATCTCGTGTCTTAGTCTATTGTACTCAAATCTAGGACACTCCCTCAACAAATGAGTTAACGTTTGAGTAGTGGTATTGTCACAGGGGCAGAATGGATCGGCAGCGATTTTGAATCTATGCAGATATTCCTTGTGGTAGCCATGACCTGTTAAAGCCTGCGTTAATTGAAATGATACTTTGGTTGCTTTCCATAGTGCACAAATGTCCGTCAATTTTGGGAGTAATTCTTTTGTGCGCGCTCCTTGTTCCGCGCTTTCATATCTTGTCTGCCAAGTTCTCCAAGTTTTTTCCCTCATAGTCCTTTTTACAAAGCTCATAGGGAACTTCGCGTAGTCAGGAGTTTTGTGTTGTGTGGCAGCGCCTTTGGCCGCATGGCCCTTAACCCATGAGAATATGAAATTAAGATCCACTTGAGCAGCTGTATATATTGTGTCATGAGTCTTTGCCACAATGGGGTGGGTGTTAGATCTCTTTTGGAGTGCTCTCAGTGCCGCCTGAGAGTCACTCAAGATCTGTATAACCTCCTTGCAGCCCATGTGCATCCTTGTGCCCCTTTGGTGTCTTTCGTCTCCTTGCTTCAATCTCCGGTCCAAAGTCCACTCGCAAGCCTCTTTAATCGCCAAGAGTTCCGCTTGGAACACAGAGCAGCTAGTATGTAGTTTCAGCCTCTTTTTATATATAACTTTTGAACCTTCGAAACAGACGAAAGCCGCTCCCACACCGCCATTCTCGAGCTTGCTTCCATTTGTATAGATTCGAATAGGCGCTGTTTCCTGTTCTAGATTTTCCGAATTCAGGTCTGCACACTCAATACTTATTCTTTTTGACGGATGTAATAACTCATGCACAGGTGTGGGCCTCTCATATTGTATATCCCTTGGTATTAAGTTGGTTGCCCCTTTCAGTCGAACTGTCTCAACTTCATGTACCTCCAGGACCCTGAGGTCCAAGGGACAAATTGAGCCAGAGCGACCGCTGCCACCGTTGAGACTGTCCTAAAGGCCCTAATTGCCTTTATTGCAAATCCCCTTTGGGCCGACTCCAAGAGCTTCCTTACATATCGTTTTTTCGCCGCTTGACCCCAGATACCTGCTGCGTATGTAATTGTAGGCTCAATGACCTGTCGATAGATGGTTTGCACGTTATCGGGATGGGCTCCCCAGGTTGGTCGGGTGTAAATGCATAGTTTGTTGAAAATTCGCATAGCCTTCCCAACAACGTACTTAACATGATCAGCGAACAGAAGCTTTCGGTCAATGATCATGCCTAAGAACTTAATACTCCTTTGAAACGCTAAAGTGTGTCTCCCCATTATAAGGTGTGCTTCTTCAGCCTTACGCGTGAATGCAATGGCTTGCGTCTTAGTGGGTCCAAATGTCAATTTGACACTTTGCCCCCATTCCAATATGATTTCCAGAGCGCGATTGGTATTTGTTTGTAGGGTATTTACATCCTTTGCGGAGACGATAAGTAAAACATCATCCGCAAAGGCTTGCAAATGACATCCACTCGGAAGTTCAGCCTCAAGCAACTCGTCCAGTATCACGTTCCATAAAATGGGCCCACACGCTGAACCTTGTATGCAGCCCTTGGTGTTGTTCTTAGTAACCCGCGCTCCTGCGTATTCTAATGTAACTGTGCGGTTCGTCGTATAGCTCTCTATTAAGTGGAAGATGTTCTTGGGGCATCTTATAGCACGTAGTCTCTCGAATAGTGCGGGCCACCACGCGTTGTCAAATGCGGAGCGGATGTCTAAAGAAACGCCCAGCACCTGTTTGCCATTCTTCTTAGCCGCTTTTACGATACTGAGTGCCGTATCTATAGCTGTAATCGTGCTGGTTTGTTCCTTGAAGCCAAACTGTCGCCCGTTGAGTAGTCCCGCTTTGGTTGCGCAATATATGAGACGCTTAATGTATAATTTTTCGAGCAATTTTCCAAAGACTGGCAAGAGTCCTATAGGGCGGAAGGAGCTTAATTCGCTATAATCAGTCTTGCTTGGCTTTGGTATGATTTTAACTTCGGCTCTCTTCCACTGCTGAGGAAAGTGATGGAGCTCTAGACACCTGTTCATGATTCCCGTTATAAGTTCTGGGTAATTAATAGTAAATTGTAGGCAGATGTCAGATGTCAGACCATCAATGCCGGGTGCCTTCTTAGGATTCATCCATTTGAGATGTTCCAAAACCTCCTCGACAGCGAATGGGGGTTCATCTACTCCATCTGGCTCATTCCCGATTCTGGATCTAAGAAACTGGTGTTGGTGCGTGTCATTATCTGGTGTATCATCACCGTAAAAGTGATCCAGGAGTGCTTGGGCCGTCTCCGTTTCGCTGCTGGTGTAATTGTCACCAATTTTTATGGTGGCTGGTGGCCGCTTGGGTGCAGTGTCCTTCAGAAGTCTATTCGTGAGAGTCCAAACGTTTTCTTTTGTTTGTAGTTCGCAGAACTCTCTAAAACTCCTGGAAGACTCCGCCCTCAGTTCCTCCGCATATATTGCCTTTTTATTATTTAATTCCTCTGCTAGTTGATCTAGAGGCAGATTCCGACGTCTCATTCGGTTTAGTCTGTGGTGTAACTGGATGACTTCTTTTTTGAGGTCTGTCAGTTTTTCCGTCCACCATAACGGGCGATGCTTCGTCAGGGATCGGCCTTTCTTTGTCGGCATAGATTCTTCACACGCTTTATGAATGATCCCGCAGATGTCATCAATCAATTTCTCCAAGCCAGCTGTGTTCAGCGATCCGATGTCTCTCTCCAATATATCTGTATTGGTCATAAGCGTGTGGAGTGCATCCTTGAATATTCCCCAATTGGCCTTGTTGCTGTTGTACTTAAACGTGGAGTTGGTTATCGATGAGGAGTTTAAGGAAGAATTCTCAGTCGCAATCTCGTATTCCACAGCATTATGCTGCGATGAAGGGCAGGCGTTGAGGTTGACCTTCCACCCGACTACACGGTCAAATATGTGTCCATGGGCCAATGTGAGGTCTATTATAGAAGTCCGATCCCTGCCGTGTGTGACGGTTTCAAAGGTGGGTGAGGTGCCGACATTGCAAACGAAGAGATCATTTGCATGTGCCAGCTCCACTACCGCACATCCTCTAGGGTTATTGGTCTTACTGCCCCATAGATGGTGCCATCCATTAAAGTCACCGCCAATGATGGTATTTGGGCATCGGGAGATCTTGAGAAAATTATCTATATGCTCTAATGTGTTATTTTCGTCTGAATTCGGTTCGATATATGCGGAGGCTATGAGTATTTTATGACCGCCACTTGTGAATTGAATAACGCAAAGATTTGAGTTAGAGTATTGTGACATACCAATCACCTGACCGCAGCCTGGTTTAGTGAGTATACACGCCTTAACTCTACCTTTTCCACCAAATTGATGTATGTTGAGTCCCTGAGTTGGTCGCACCTCATTTCCTGAGCCAACATATGGCTCCGACAGCAATGCAATTTGATAGCCACCTGCCATGAAAGAAAGAATAAATTCATGTAAACTCTTTTTTGAACGATCAATGTTACACTGTATAATTTTTATATTTTTATTAATTAAATCCATAATCAATTCTGTTAATTATTCTTTCTCTCATGGCTCTCAGTTTTGGACATTCCAGTGACATGGCAGAGTGGCGGACATCCGCTTTGGTACCAAATTTATCATTATGAGATGCACAATTAGCGCATATGGCAGTACCTTGTTTGCCCTTATCAGGACATTTTTCGCCTGTGTGCTCCTTACTGGAACAGTGCGAGCATTGACTAGTTGCGGCTGTGCAGTACTTTTTAATGTGCCCAAACTGCAGACACCTGTGGCACTGCAGAAAGGGTGAGAATTCGCTGATGTGTAATCGCTGGTAGTCAACACTGATTTTGCCCTTTTCAATGAATTTACGAAAGAGTTTGGGTGCCACAAGAAACACTGCGTTGTATAGCCCCGGGTTTTTGTTGCTACGCCTAAATCGGAGGCGCATGTCATCGTCCTCAATAAAAGCCTCTTTCAACTCTGGGTTCTGCCCCCTGACAATACCAGCTATCTCTTCAGCTGGTATATCTTTGGATATACCCTTTAGTATAATCATTGGCCGCAGTCCCTTAGCCGGCTCAACGCTTACGTGCTCAGACGATTTTAGCTTTTGTAGGGTGTCGTTACGTTGTTCGGTTGTGTCAAATTCCACTCTAAGTTTGTGATTTGACACTGCCTGAACCCTAGCGTTTAGGGAGAACTTTTCGAGAGTGCTTTACGAACCGAGCACTGTGTACCGCATACCGCACATCCGGCATGTATCACTCAAACCGCGGAATGTTAGGCGGTGTGTTCCTTCCGTCATCGAGAGTGGAGTTGGACGCAAAGAGATTGTCATGACATGTCCGATTCCAGGACAATTTTCCGTAAATAAAGACACATTAGAAGTCGTGTAAGAATATTTATGCGATTCTGATAAACTACCTTATGTGTTTCTGTATTCTATAATATTGTCAATATAGACACAGATACCGACGTGTCTCTACAAGTGATCCAGTTTTGCTAATTTTAGTACGAAATAGTAAGATCGATGTTTCTAAATTCAAGCCCACGCGAGTGAAGCTGCAGGTAAAAATCTAGTAAAGATACAATCCTTAAAATAAGTATCCATCTCTTTGCGTATTTTATCGCATCTACCACGGGGAGTGCTCTGAGCAATTGTTCGGACTAATTCCAGCCGCACAATTTCACCATCGCACATCGCGACAAAATTAGCGATACCATCCATACCATCTGGATGACTGGCGGTCCACCACTGTGCTCTTTAAAAGAAATATTCTTCCTCGCACAACTTCCTTGTGGAATCGACTACCACCAGAGATTTTTCCGGACCGATACGGCTTAGGGACCTTCAAGAAAAGAGCCTACTCCTTTTTAAAAGGCCGGCAACGCATCTGCAATTCCCCTGGTGTTGGAGTTGCTCATGGGCGGCGGTAATCATTTAACATCAGGTGAGAGTCAATAGTCAGTGAGTCAATACAGTTTAACAGAATAAGTCCACTTGATGGTAGGTGAATCATAATGAAGATGTGTTGTCACTCCTGAGGACTAAGATAGAATGCCCTCTAGCAGTAAAAAGGGTTATGGTTCTCTACACTCACTATGAAACAAAGCACAATTCAGCTGCTATCTGATGCTGATATTCTGTGAGAGTGTAGTTTTTACTTGGTGAAGTGGACCCATTCATGCTGGACCCATATATAGTTGCAGCGTGGCTCTACCATGTTGAATGTTTATCGAATAAACATGTAACATACTACATCTGAACATCTTTCCATGTATTCATCTGCATTAGCCTGTCTCACTGTACTGCCAGAACCTGAAGTATTTCAGCAACTGTAGTAATCGCCTGGCTGTTAATATATTATTTACTAAGAATATTTGATAATATTGCTTTCAAACATAACCTTGTAAAAGTACGTTATGGAATACTACTACCCTGCCTGACGTTTTTAGACTCATCTGGAAAGTTCATGGGTCATTAGGAAAGTTTTGCGAAATAAAAAATGTTCTGTGGTTAAAGCTATTATTATTAATCCTTTTCAAAGAACTCTTTTCCGGTATATATACAAAGTATTATGTGTCTGGTCTAGGGTCGCCATCAGGTCATCGTTTTCAACAAAAATAAATACATAGTTTCATTTTTAGTGGAGCAAGCAAATTACACTTGAATATCCTACATTTCTTTATTTCAATAGTCGACCACAATTTACTAACAATCAATTACGATTGAACGAACAAAATAAAGAAGAATGTTCAGGATACTCGCTCTGCGCCCTTGTACTTTGCCAAATAGACCTTGAAATCGATTAAACCGTAGATTAAGGTTGTGCTCACGATTCGTGCCTCTGTTGGACTCTACATGGACGGCACGAAGGCCGGGGCGGATAAGGCCACTGAGTGGGCTTGTTGAACCTACTAAGTAAGTTTGTGGACCGACTGCCTTTCTTCTCTCGCCATACTCGCCGCGACTTTAGCGCTGTTACACACAATGGGGCTAAATAAGTGCGAATCGAATATAACCTCTCCTAGATCTGCGAGTCAATTATGCGTAGAACCTCATGAAAAAAAAGTTAGCCGAATCATGAGGGTGACAACACGGGTGATTGAAGAAAGCATGTCAAACCCTCCTCCAAGCTCTATGATGGAGGCTTAGATGGTGAATAACGTATTTGTTCGTTGATTCCGCTCCATTCCCCAAGTGAGGAGAAGTCCATCGTTGTCGGACGTACTTCGGTACTTCCGTAACCCCAGCAAAGGGCAAAAAAAAAAACCGTAGGATTTTAGAATTTCCTTGCGCAAAGAAAATTGATTATAGTTTTCCTTCTACTGGTTTTTTTTACTACATTGGTACACTGGTTTTTTTCTACATTTTTGGGAATAAAAAGTCACGCGGTGCATAATTAGGACTATAAGGAGGGTGACCCAAAAATATAACCAGAATGCAGTTCAGGATGTCCATCGTTATAATCGCTGAATTCGCATGCGCATTGTCAAGGTGAAGCAGTAGCCTGCCAAGCCCCGTGTTCCGTCGCTTATTGCTTACAGCACCGTCCACTCATAAAATACACAAATAAATATTTCACTGCAGTTTTAAGTGCTGAAAAAACTAAAAAACAAATTGACTTGTTTCTGGCAATATAGTAATATAAAAAGCTAATGTTACTACATTTTGACTAATGACTGCAACACATGCCTGTTATATTAATAACGATGAGTCGATTGGGGATAAAGTGTCGATGTCATCATATGCGATTACAATATATATTGTGCAAATTACTTATTGAACGAAACTAATATTACGGATTTTATGGCGTTTTGTTAACTTTCTATATTCCGACGTCACGGGAGGACTGAGGTGGTCGACGTCCCAACTCCCAATGTCTAACTTAACCAGAGCTACGTTCAGTTTAAAATTATTAATTTTAAGTTCAATCTACGCAGAATGAACTTATAGTAGGTATCTTAAAACTTGCAGTTAAATTGAAAATGAATTTTATTAATTCGAGCAATCTTTTCTATTAAAATTGAATGTTTCTCGATTTCAATAGCCTCGCGAATCATCGTTGGTAGGAGTCTGTGTCCTTTTGCGAGAATTTGCGATCCTGTTCGTGTTCACACGCTGCAGACTTATCGGAGCATCGAATGTTCACATCGACTGTGTTCTTTTACGCGAGTTTATCTTATTTGATCTTATTTGTTTTAATGAAAGCTCGTTTCAAAAGGTAGCTAATCTTGTCTGTGACACCTCTGACAAATGGTAGTACAGCAGGCATACGCTTGACTGTTTCCGGTTTTACGCCTTCACTATGACGTAAGCGCGGGACACGAAGCTTGTCGTGCAAAACTTGCTCACCATGCTGGAGCTCGGCGGCTAGATATTTACTGTCACAAAGGCCACGTGCTCTGTGAAAGAAAGACGCAGTATAGTCTGCAATATTAATGCGGAGATCCGGAGACTATCACTCGTGCCGAGGCGTTACATATTATTTTTTCGGGATGACAACTTATCTACATTCTGACTGCTAGGCCACGTGGTCTTTTTTTATATAGAATAGGGTGACAAACGAGCACACAGACCACCTGATGGTAAGTGGTTGCTGCGGCCCATAGACATCTACATCTATCCTCCATTAAAAATCAAAATGCAGATGCGTTGTCACCCGTGAGGACTGAGATGGGATGCCTCGTTTCCAGTAAAAAGGGTCTCCGGTTCTCTACACTCACCATACGAAATACAGCAGCATTAAGCTACTATTTCACTCTGGTATTCTGTGAGAGCGTGGTTCTTCCCCGATCGAGCCGACCCATTCGTGCTACAACTATACTACTAATATAACTGCAGCATGGCTCTACCACGTATAAACGTGGTCGTCATAATCTTGCAATATATTAGAACGTCGAAGACATAAATTATTCTGTAATTATTTTATAATTTAAGCACGTAGTAATCCATTTGTTATCAACAAGAGAATAGGGAAATCAGTCTAGCTGGAATCGATTACCTCACGTTTAGTGCTTGAGTCACTCGATACCTTAACTAACAACAAAATTACATAATTTTTATTGTGTTACGTAATTACATTAAAATTAAATGTGTGATATCATGATATGTAATCTTAAAAATTTTGCAACCCAAATGGTACGGTTTGTGAGTCTGTTGTTGTCTGAACCTATTTTGGATGCTGAATGGCTTCCAAGTAGTTGGAGTAGCATAAGAAGTCCGTAAGTTAGCGTACGTAACACCCGCACAGGAATACATATATAAATTTACAGCCTTCATACATTCCACTGCTTTACTTACGCAATAAGCAGAAGTGTAACCAAACTTGCATTGACGCATCGGCGTCTCGGGATGTAAGCACCAGTGCCCTTAAAACAAATTATAACTCCACCTCTAGGTTCTTTAAGGGCTATTTTTAGCTATATTAGTTTGTAGCACGAATGGGTGGCTCGACCGGGGAAGGATTGCGATCTCACGGAATACCAGCGTAAAATAGCACCTTAATACTGCTGTGTTTCGTATGTTGAGTACAGAGAACCGGGGACTCTTTCATTCCATCTTAGTCCTCACTCCTCAAGGGTGACAATACGTCTGCGTTTTGATTCTGAATCGAAGTTAAATGTAGATGTCTATGGGCCACAGCATCCACTTACCATCAGGTGGACCGTGTGCTCGTTTGTCACCCTTATTCTATAACAAAAGCCATCACTTCCATTTTTGCACAGGTAGAACGATTCACTGGCTCACGCCGCAAAAGAGAAAGCCGATCTTTTAGGCTCTTTTTTCGCGTCAAACTCAACTCGATAATGGAGGGACATACCACCGACCATTCCTCGGTGCGAGTGCGCCTTACTGCATGCTCTCCCTAGACATGTGAAATAGGCTTGACGGAACCTCATAATTGTGCTGTGGACGTGTTAACACCAGTTATTACGCGTTTTTTTTTCGATACTCATACGCTTCAAGCGTTGTTCCAAAGTCTCGTCCTATATCGCAATAACCTTTTGTTCTCTAAAATAGTGGAGTCAATTATTAACTGCCAGTTATGGAATAACTTGAGGGACACCAACTGATTAGTGATCGCCAGTGCGGTTTCCGTCGGGGTCAATGACCAGGTGCTCCTGCTGCTGAAGGTTCTTGGCAGTTTAGACAAAGCGAAGGTTTTTCATCGCATTTGGCACAAAGAGATTTTTTCGAAGCTTCCCTGTTATGGGCTTCCCGAGAAATTATGCAAATGAATCACCAGTTTTCTCCCATATCGGAGCATTAAGGTCGTAGTAACATGGACTATCGAAGTCCGTGTTCGGACACAAAGCATGTGAATGCTGGTGTACCATAAGACTGCGTGATATCGCCTACCCTGTTCCTTTGCATATCAATAATATTATGTTGCTATAGTAATAGTAACATTCATTGTTATGCAGACGACAACACTGGTGATTTACACCAGCCATGCCAATATTCCTTGGTAACACGTTGTCGAATGCCAATGTCGAATGTTACGAATTACGATGTAGAGTGACGTTTAGTTCCGCGGTCACTTAAAACGAAAAAAATACTATATACTATACTTAAAAATACTAGATGTAGAGCTGACTTCTACCACGTAAAACTTTACGTAAAACTTAAAGTTTTATGTGGTAGAGTCAGCTCTCACGCTCTCACGGAATACCAGCGTCAACTAGCAGCATAAGAGGAAGTGCGGGCCGAGAGGCGTTTTAAAATTACTTAGGTATTTGAAGAAACTATTGCTGTCTCTTTGTGAGTGCAAGTGCGATAAGGACAACTGCAGATCTGACCGAATAGCCTGAGTAAAAAGGCATAATTCGAGGCTCCCTACCATTTCCATCTTCAATATTGGACCAATTTAAAAGATATTTCATAAACCGAATAAAAAGGATATACAATGTGTCCCTATGCTTTTCTTTTTTCAGTATTAGTTATCAAATTTAAACACTAGGCCTCTGTTGACAGCGGTCTAAATAGGCAATTACGAGCATTTTGTAAGGTTTAGTGCAAGTAGTAAGTGCTTATAAAGATAACGTGATATCAAAATGGAAAACAAAGAGACATAGGAGAGGTCGATATTTATTTTACTGTAAAAAGTCATTGCCATAAGGTCTTAACAAGAAAGAAACCAGGCGTGAGCGTTTGATCGAAGTCAAGGATTCATGTGGTGAGTGCAGAGACCCTTTTACTAGTAATGAGGTATTCCATTTTAGTCGTCAAGGGTGATAAAACATCTGCATATTGTTTCTTAATCGGACATAGATGTAGATGTCTATAAGCCGCAGCATCCACTTACCTTATTTTATAAGAAAAGCTTGTCGTGTTCAGCACACCACTTCTATTTTACAAGGGGCAATTTCGGTCTCACATTGAATACTGTTCTAATCTCTGGACCTCATGAAACCGGTATCCACCTGAAATTTTTCCGAACGGATACGATTTAGGGACCTTCAAGAAAAGAGCCTACTTTTTTTAAACGGTCGGTAACGTACCTGCAATTCTCCGGATGTGTCAGTTGTTGATGGCCTGCGGTAGTCATTTACCATCCGGTGATCTATATGCTAGTTTGCAACTAACGACATAAAACAACAAATAAATTAAATCCATTTTTTAATCGTATTGAAAAATATCTTAAGGCTTTTCCCGCTGTAGTTTAAAATTATGGTAAATACCATCACTCTAGAATTCAAAATTTTTCAGCAAGTTCAAAAAACGGGAGGTTATCAGTTGTACTTTACTTTCCTTTTTAACAATACCTTATGTATTATTACTCCTTGGTTATGTAGTGAACCGATTTTTGTAATAATTTTACAAAGAAACAATGTACGCATTGTTTTCTAAATTTTAATCAAATTAGATCATACAATACTATAATACATACATAATAGAATGGGGGAGTGGTCGTGTAGCCACTAAAATCTCACTTACACGTCAATTCACACGTATAAACGTCAACTCGAGATGCGTTTTGACGTTACAAATGTTTCCAAATTTCCCATGCAAATTATTTAGAAAATGCCAAATTGCACGCTATTTACAAATAAATATGTAGTACCCGGTTGACCGAGCTTTGCTCGGTATTTTTCGCTCGGTTTTTTTTTAATTCGTGTGTTTTGGAAATTATATTTAGATACAAATTACATACTGATGAAATACGAATAATATTTTTGGATTTTAGCGACATAATAGAAAAAACTGAACTGGTTATTTGAATAAAAAATCATGAGTGCAATTAGTTTAATTTAAATTTTCGTGTTTTTAAAAAATACTAAAAAAAGGGCTCGAAAAAATAGATTTTCTCAAAAAAGAAAGGAACTTGAAAAAAAAAATTAAAAAAAGTCGGTCGGTCGGTCTGGGCTCGAACCATGGTATTACGATTTTGTGACCGCCCAATATACCAATTAAGCTATTTGTAATCATTAATAAATTGTCAAAATTTACCCTCTTATTCTAACGATATTGTAGCAGTTTTTCATTGCCTAAAAACACGGACAAAAAGACATTTTCTAAAAATAAATCCTAGCTAGATCGATTTATTGCCCCCGAAACTCCCTGCATACAAAATTTTATGAAAATCGTTGGAGCCATTTCCGAGATTCCGATTATTATATATATATATATATATATATCCGTGGTAGCTCAGTGGTTAACGCTCGCTGTAAATATAACAGAACGCGAGTAACCCGGGTTCGATCCCCGCCGGCACCAATGAAATTGTTAATTGCAATTACAAGTGCTGATTTGCCACGTGCTCGGCGGTGAAGGAAAACATCGTGAGGAAACCTGCATGTCTGAGGAATAAGAAAAAAAAATATTTCGAAGTGTGTGAAAATATGTGAAGTTCGTCAACACACATTTGGGCAGCGCGGCGGACACTTCCTTGCCCTAAACCCTCTCAGAAATGAGGGGAGGCCTGAGCCTAGCAGTGGGACGTATATATGCTGTAACTTTACTTTATATATTTACAAGAATTGCTCGTTTAAAGGATTAAAATCTGTCTGTCAACACATCGAATCGGGTTTGTAGTATCTAGTGATAATACGCCGTTATTGCTTGTATGTGTGCTCCCGGCGATGTCGTATCGTCGTATAAAATAAGGTTGACAGCCATTCTATCGTATATTATAGTATTCTATGGATTAGATGGTAACTGAAGTCTTTTTATATATTTTAAAAAGATGTAAGAATGTTATTTAACTTCCATAGTACATAGAAGTGGCCCGCAGTTCGCGGCACTACGGTCGCGTACCGGCGGGCGAGGCGGTGACGGACGCGCGCCACGTGACTGACGGAGCGACAAGCGGGCCGTGTCGCGTTCGTGTGTCGCTCGCTTCCAAGGAGCTCACGCTGACCAGTGTTGGCCAGCCCTCGCGGGAGCAACGCTACAAAGTTACCAGGATGAGGTGCTGGAGGATAACCACCCTGCATACTGTAAGTGTGGTTTTTAAATACTTTCATATTCAATTCACTTCTGGTTGGGATGTATATATATATATATATATATATATATATATATATATATATATATATATATATATATATATATATATATATTAGTGATGCAACGAATACGAATATTCGTATTCGGCGAATACTTATCACGAATCTATAAAAACTTATAATATTGTACGCAACTCTAATTACTGACAGACTATGAAAACGCGCGTCGTATGCACGTAAAAAATTCGACGTGTGTATAGGCCCTTAGGCTTAGCACGCACTGCGATTAAACGCACGCGTTTAACCGCACGTCTCAAACCGCAAAAAAAGTAACACATAGCTTTCTACACAAGCGCACGCATTAGCGACTTTTTTCAGTGACTGATTTCAAAAACGTAACTTGCTACATTTGGATCGCGGTTTCTAAAAGTGCGATTTTTATGTGTCCCATAATAATAGTATGACGATGCACGCACAGCGGTTAACCGCGTTCCGTTTTTATTTAGCTCTTCAGGTGATATCGTCATACGAAATCAAGTGTCTTCATGTTGTAGACTGGTTACGACATTCTGTGGTAATTAAAAAACTTATCGGGATTGATGTCGCACGTCGTTGTACATTTTTCAAATGTATCCTTTCAGATGTCTTTGATCTTTTAGTGGATGATGTACCCAGTGCTTATGGCAGCGCCGTTGTTTACGTTTTCCATTTTTTAATTTAAAAATCAAAGCCGCAACACATGCTACTCGCCCGAAATCCATGGTGGTACTGAAATAAAATTAAGCAAAACTCCAGCCGCAGATTGTATGCGAGAGATTGTATGCGGTTTTGCGTTTTCAGCTATTCCTAAACCGCACGCGTTTAATCGCAGTGCGTGCTAAGTCTTAGCCGCAACGATGGCTACACAAGGGCAGTGGAGTTGTTGCAATTGGCTCTGTTGTGGCAATGGGCTCTTATGAACCAAATTATTAATATTCTGGCCAATTTTGAATAAGCTACTAAAGAGCTATACAAAGAACCGGCGAGAAGATGTCCATTTTCCAAGGATGAGAAAACGGCCAAAACTATTCTTTAGTGAAACCATGTACAGTCGCCTCGGTAAGGCTTTTTTCAATGGTCTGGTAACATCCAAACTAAAAAGAATATATATATATATATATATATATATATATATATATATATATATATATATATATATAAAATACATAAGTAAAGGTAGTAATAAAAACTAAACCATATTTATTAAGCCTTAGGCAGGGGAGACCAAAAGGCCTAGGATTAGCAGGAAAGGTACAGAAACTAGCGGACACATTTTAAAATGACCCGAGATTATTATTATTTATTATTATTATTACGTAGAATATTCATCATCAACTTCATGGGCTGCTGAAATTGGGAAGATTTGCAGTTGCCGTGCCAAAGTTTCGCACTTTTCACATTGTTTATATCCATGGTCTGGTGGTGGTTGGATTTTAGGCTAGGCACGTACGATATGGTGTCTCGTTGAAATGATGCTATCTGTAGGATCCTGCAAGTTTGACTTGTGTCGCCCTGTATACCATCCATAGGGCTGCAACACCGCCTGCCAAGCGTGGCAACTATGGCAAATATCTCCCCTATGAGACAATCTATAGGGGAGACCTTTGTTCAGCAGTGGAATTTAATAGGCTGTAAGGATATAATTTTGTATAGAGAATAAAAATATAGATACAACGACACAAACACTTGATGTGATCTTGTAGTTCGATCCAAAATCGGATCAAAAATTCACAATTTTTAATTAATTTAGAATCAAAAGGAGTGTGCAATGTGAAAAAAATATTAGTTGATAATTAATACATTGCACGTGTTATTTTCATGTTTGTTACGACAAGAAGTAAGTTTTAGATAAACTTTGGGGCCAACTTTGACCCCAAAGTGTCTGTTCCGATCTGGTGAATTGTAAAGTTTTGCTTTTTTGCTACCCTTTTATTGTTTCCAAGAATGCACCAGTTAGCAGACATTTTAAAGGAACCTACTGTTATGGTTATCATTATAGTCGCAATATTGACCCATAAAAACAAAAGTGTATAATGAAACTTACTTATTATGAATTTTACATTTACATGTTTATTTGGATGTCTGTTCTTAAATCTCGCTTGATTTGCGGAAGTTGACTGATTCTTATGATTTTTTTTACCTCGTGGTAGGAACTATTATTTCGTGGAATAGGGCATTAGTGTTCTTTTTATAAAAAAAATATTGATAAATTATACCTAGCGATGCGGGCGTTCATAGTCATTCTAAATTTTCCTCTTTTCACTCTATGCTGGGGTTGAGACGTCTGCATCCGACATTATCATAAAAAAAATTACATTGGTAAAATACCAGCGTAAAATAGCATCTTAATGCTGCGGTGTTTCGTATGGTTAGTGTAGAGAACCGGAGACCCATTTTATTGGAAACGAGGCATTCATTTTAGTCCTCAGATTCCTTTGATTTTTAATCAAAAATAAATATAGATATGTATGGGCCACAGCATCCACTTACCATCAGGTGGACTGTGCGCACGTTTATCACCCTAAATCTATAAAAAAAAAATTGGTCCCGAATAGATTGAGACGGCAAGTGCTTGCTCTTGCGCGTCTACCTTGTACTGTAACGTGTCACTCACAGCTTATAATTTTCGATAGTACTCTCATATATACGTGACATACTCGACATCGAACAACGACTCAATTTTAATATTTTCCTTTATCGCTTAGTATTTGATAAGTAAACGCTTAAACTGCATGTAAAAATTATGTTACCACACTCTGGTTGCTCATCATATAAAGCAAAAATTTACTTACAAGGCCGTACAATCCTCTTATGCTTGTCTAATTGACTGAGAGTTTTACCCTTCTTTTTACCTAACTGCCCCAGAAGGGGGATAATGTTTTACAGGTGTATGTATGTATGTACGAAGCTATTTATGTATGTATGTCCATTTGGTCTGTGTCGTTAGATTGGTCTTTGTTGTGGAAGTGACACAGGTATAAAAATTCACCTTTCGGCTTGTATGTAATAATTGTATGTAGTGATTTCGAGGTGCTTTTATCCATACTAATATGTCAAAGACCATAATATCCCATCGTCTTATATAGTAGAAATGATATTGTCAAATTACTGAACTATTTTATGATTGTTATAATTATGTATTAAAAGGTGATTGGTGTTACCTCACTTCTCATAAAAATTACCTTACAAGTACAGTCTACCACTTAGTCACTGTTGTATACGAGGGCGGCACTGAAAATTTCGGGAATCAAGGAAGTGACACAACATTACTATTTAAAAATGTATTTATTGTTTTTCGAAGTATTCTCGGCGAAAGTTGACACATTATTCCATACGATAGAACCAATCATTGAAGCAACCATTCCATTCGGAAGTTCGGGTCTCCAAAATGGCCGTTTTGTAGGCGTCCACAGCTTCTTCAGGTGATGAAAATCTCTGTCCACGCAATTTATTCTTTATTTTAGGGAAAGTATAGAAATCATTAGGGCTTAGGTCGGGACTGTACGGCGGATGGTCTAATAATTCTATGTTTTCTTGCTCTAAAAACTCTATTGTTCTGTGTGCGGTGTGAGAACTCGCATTGTCGTGATGGAGGATGATGCGGCGGTTGCAGTTCTCTTTACGGAGTTCAGAAACGACCTGTGGCAAACAAATGCTAGCATACCATTCTGCATTAACCGTTCTTTGTCCCTCAAGAGGAATAGTCGTAAAATGGCCGGTTTTGGAGACAAACGTGGCCACCATTTTTTTTTTGCAACACTCCGGAACGAACAAGTTTTGTTGGCTTTAACTCATTTTCGAACACCCAAACTCGTGACTGGTTTTTTGTTTCGGGTTCGTACGCGTATATCCAGGATTCGTCACCTGATACGATGTGGTATACAGCATTTGAGGATCCTGCGTGGAATCTTTCGAGAGTTCTGACGCACCAAGTAACGCGAGCCGCTTTTTGCTCTTCACAGAGCGAGTGCGGTATCCATCGGGAAAACAACTTTTTTGACACCTAATTGTTCATGCAAGATTATTTGTATTCGAATCATGCCAATGTCTAAAGGAATTTCGCGGTATGTCACATGCCGATCTTTCTCAATCAGCTTACGTACAGCATCAACGTTTTCTTGGGTGACTGCAGTTTTTGGAGGACCTTGACGGGGATCATCACTGAGCTTGACACGTCCACGTTGAAATTCAGCAAACCAGCGATAAATTGTGGTTTTGGATGGGGCTTCATCACCAAATGCGGAAATCATCCGGTCAACACACTGTTTTTTTGTTAAACCACTTCGAAAGTCATAATAAATCATCGCTCTTGAATTTTCTCGAGTCAATTCATTTTCTCAACGACTAAACAAGTTTGACAAAACCTTGTGGCAAGACCGAGAATCTTTTTTTTAAATAAATAAATGGTATTCTATTTTTAAAATCAAGGAGTTTTCAATTAAAAAGATTTTAATATGACAGGAACAGTGGAAATGTTCCATTCCCGATACTTTTAGTACAGCCCTCGTATGCGTTCCGTTGCATGTTTTTAAAAAAAATTAAGATTGGAGAACTTTGTTACCCTCTTGACGATTCTGTTTCTTAGGCAACTGTTCATTGGTTATTGTAATGAACAACTAAATAGTCTTTACTTCAGTCTCTTATTGAAATTCAAAACTCTTAAGGGAAAATATTGTTATCCTGTCGAAACTCAAACGACCCCTCTTAAAAGAATAACGGGTCGTATGGGCATCTTATGATTTAATCATCCACAAGTGGTTTGAGTGGTCTCCTTCCGGTACTTTTGATTTTGTTGTCTGTGAATTCGTTTTATTTTTCAATAACTCATTACTCATTAGTAATGAATTAACATATTATAATTTGAGTACAATATACTATACATACTTTGTCAGAAATCTGTCTAAAATAGTTTTTCTTTTATTTGAAAACGAAACACATAAACACACTATCGAATATTCTGAACCGAAACAATTATTTTTCGGCCATACAAATACTGAATGTGTATGCGGTTCGGACCCACGACTACCTAGCTACTGTGCTGTAAAGCTGATCTGTTGCCGAAGCTACATACCTCCTATTGTGGTTATTTTAAGAGTCGATCTTAATACTTTAATGTGTATGTCGTCATCATGGTAAAAGGGATTAGACTCTTGTTAAGTCAATGCACTTTACCATCCTCGGCTACATCACCATTTAACATCAGGTTGGATAGTAGTCAAGCTGGCTTATAATAGTTAATAAAGTAATTTTAAAAAAAGAACCGACTACAAAACTTTGTCCACATTACTAAAAAGTTAAAAATATTTTTTTTTGATTGCTTGCAAAAATAAACTTATGAGATACCTACATATTTAAATTCATTTACATTTAAACAAAACAAAATAGAGATTATATGACTTACAAATTGTTAAAAACATCATAATCACAAAAACATCATACACTCGAATTGAAATACTCATCCTTTTTTTTGAAGTCGGTTAAAAAACGATGATCTTCTTATAGTATCCTACAAACTGGCAGGATCAACAACGTTATCGCTGCGCTTAAATGCGCATCATTATGTCGCAAAACACGGTCCTGTACCAGCTGCACCCATTTTCTACGTTTTTTACCAGGTCGTCGCTCCATCTAGTGGGGGCCGCTCTACAACTCGCTTACTGGTACTAGACTGCCGGACGAGAAGCTTTCTTCCGAATCGACTGTACATTCATTGATTATATAATCAATGATAATAGACATACTTTTGGTAATGGGGGTTTCTATTAGTGTGTGTGTGTGTGTGTGTGTGTGTGTGTGTGTGTGTGTGTGTGTGTGTGCGCGTGGCGCTGCGTGCGTGGGTGCGAGCGTGCGTGCGTGCGTGCGTGCGTGCGGGCGTGCGTGCGTGCGTGCATGCGTGCGTGCGTGCGGCGCGCGTTGTGCGTGCGTGGGTACTTAGCGTAGCTTTGGCACTGACGGAGCACTTCGACGCTGATGTTCTGTGGGTGCCAACGAGTATTTAACAAAAAATAAAAATATTTGTAACAGAATTAATTATTATACACTGTTAATTAAAATGTATACAAATATTTGGACCAGTACACATATTACTTTCACATACATTTATTAAAATAAATAAAATAAAATAACAATTACTTATATAACATTTAAAAGAAACGATTAAACGGAATGTATAAGTACGTAAGAGAGACATATTTTTCATTATGTTGAATTTGGAATAATTAGTATTTTTGGTAATTTTATTTAAACGAACCAATTTTTGGGTTTCAATTGTTCAATTTGATAGCTTCAATTATTTAATTTAAGTAAGTCGTGGGAGGACTGGAGTGTTCAGTATCTTAATGTCACAGTTAATCTAAACTACTTTCAGCCTTTAAATATTAATTTATGGTTTTACATATTTAGAGTAGTGGCCAATACGTATTTAGAGATTTTTTTATTTTATTTTATAGAATAAGGATGACAAAAGAAAACAGTCCACCTGATGGTAAGTGGTTGCTGTGGTTCCTAGACATCTATCCTTGGTTAAGAATCAAAATGCAGATGCGTTGTCATCCCTGAGGACTAAAATGGGATGTCTCTTTTACAATCTATCCATTCTCAATCTCCTTCGGCAACAAATTCATGCCTGCACTAAGTCAATGCTATTGATATGCAGCACAGGCAGAATATTCTTCTATTTAATGGGATCTCTGACTCTCCAGAAGTTAATATTGAACAAGAAATACTGGGTGTCATACATAGGAAAACGAGTATCCCACATGAAATAAATGTGTCCTTATTACGTTGCCATCGAATTAGAGTTCAAAACGATGGTCTTTCACGTCCAATTCTTGTACAATTTCAAGAGCATCGCACAAAGTCTGAGCTGTTAAAAACTCTATAATTTCATATTGGCATGGTCCACTGCATCAATGACGCTGCCGACTGCGTCACAAGGTGCGAGACGTCTGGCACTGCAATGGTCAATCCGCCTGCCAAGCATGACGGGTGATGATGAAGGCGAATGATAGAAGTATGTTAAATGTAGGAGTTAATCTCTGGCGGCGCTGTCGTCGTGCCACAAGCGAAACGCACTGAAGTCTAAATCGCACTATCAAAGTTCCCAAATACTGCAGTATATATAGAATAGCTCTGGCCGCTCTCCGGGCCGAACACCTTGCCTGATGATCTCCCCTTTTTCTTTCATGGTCAAAAATCCAAAAAAATAAAATAAAATTGATGTTTTTATGCATAGGTATGGCGTGGTAACTTTTAAACTGAAATAATTTTTTTTTGCAGACGGACAGGCACCATACAAACGGTCACGGATCTTTATTAGAAGAGTCCAACAAACACTTCGAGCTCTCTTTCGAATATCTCATTAGTAAAGACAACCTAGAGTGGATAACACTGCAGACGGAGCACGCGATATTTATTAGTGTTTGTTTGCAGGTGAGTTTTTATTGTCCACTATCAAACGGCTTTTATACGAGCTTACATTACAGCTACCATTTACATAGCTTTTATGCTATGTAAATGGACTGGTGGCGCGAAATGGCACTTAGCGGCTTTGGACTCAATGGAAAGGTGTGCTGAGAGAAGTTTATTTGTGACACCTATACGGTTGGAACGAATTAATCTTACCAGCCTCGAGCGGTGCCGCAAAGTAGCCAGCCGGTCGGTTTTCAACAGAATAAATTTCCGAGGGTGTGAGCAGGAATTGCATGGCTTAATTCCTCCCTCTCCATTCCATCATCGGACCACCAGACGCTCTGTTGCTCTCCACTTCTTTCTTGTCGACATACTCCGCAATCGAATAAAACGGTTTGTTTCGTCTTTCATAATGCTTTCAGCAAAGGAGGTAATGATTTGCCAGCGTCAGTCTTTTCATCCGATTATGATATTGGTGTCTTCAAGGCTTGCCTTGAATAAATCTTGATTTAATACGCTTTTATTAAGCTAAGTCAGTGCGATTTACATCTTCAGCTGCAACTTAACGTCGTGAGAAGTAGTCGAACACTGGCTTGTAATAGAAAAATAAAATACTATAACTAATTAACTGATTTCATAGTTTAGCATGCTGAGAATATTAACAAATGAGATTTTAAAAATATGCCACGCTTTTTTATCATTCTTGCAATGTCATCCAAATTTGAGATATGTTCATAATTTCAAGTGTCCGGCTTCGGGAAGTTAGTTTAAAATCAATTATTAAATTACACCTAGAACGACAAACAAACAAGAAAGCGACTTCATAAAAACATGGTAAAAAGTACACAAGATTTTCTCAAGAAATGCTAATAGGAATGTGCAGTTCTTGAAAACAGGCACTATGCAATACATTATATTCAATTAGTCATTTCTCAAAATATAATCAAGGCTTATATGTTGACCTTTGAGTAATAACTTCCATTTCATTTTCAATGCAAAAGTGATTCAGCAGATAAACATTTATAATTTATTACTTTAACACGTTTATAAATTATTCATTTTAATATAAGTGATATTCATAATATGATTAAAATTAGCGTGTGTTCTAAAATCTAATTTTGGGCGCTAGTCGAAACAAAAAAAAAAAGTAAATCCCGCTTTTCATCCTCCCTCCTCTCATTTCAACGTTAGTTTCTTTACACATTCTCAAAATATTTTTAACAAATGCAAGTTTCCTTATTCCTCACGATATATTCCTTCAACGAGCAAGTGGTGAATCAACATTTGAAAAAGCTAATAATAATATTGATGGTGCTGGCGGATTATTGCTTTCTTAATTTAAGCACTAATTATCTCTACATGTCTCTTTCGATTGTCATCTAGTGAAAATAAAGAGAGCGAACAACTATATGCGTTTCATAAATTGACTTTGATTTTTATGTGAGAGGTCGTAAATGTTTAGTAAAAGTAGGTGGAAATTAGTGTATAATAATATTGTTACGAGCTTGAGGTTCGTGACATTAAAACCTGCCAAATGAATTACCAAAATGGACACTTTACTTACCGAACACCAAATACTAATAAAAACACACTAATAATGAAACACAATTATCGCTTCAAAGTATTCGCTTGTATCGCCAATTCAATACTGCCTCGGTCGCGGTCTTCACTGGCCTTATATAGGCCTCTTTCATCGAAACATCTAGAATGTTCGAGTATATACCGGTCGCGACCGATGTATGACCGAGTATGGAATTTTCTAGAAAGCTCTCCTAGTTCTTCTACTCGATACCAGATGGCGCGAGTTACCATTCGCCATGTACCAGACATTATATATAGCGCGCAACACTATGTACTCCTTTTCTGATTAGGAGTCCGTTAGGGTTGGTACCAACCAACTTATTACTGCCGTCTCTTTGTTCTGGTCTGAAGGGAGATAGCCCGTATAATTACAAGGAATTTCAACAAGGAAGCCTTCTTTGTTGGAAGTTGATTGCAGGTGTTCACCAACTGCAGTATCCATTCACCGTTAGGTTTTTAATTTCGAATTGTAAGTTTCACTAGAAGTTTTCTTCCGCGTACACGACCTCTCTGTGGAATAGTTTACCGCCGGCGATTTTTCCGGACCGATACGACTTAGGGACCTTCAAGAAAAAAGCTTACTCCTTTCTAAAGGGCCGGCAACGCACCTGCAATTCTCCTGGTGTTGCAGTTGTTCATGGGCGGCGGTAGTCACTTAACATCAGGTGAGCCGTATGATCGTTTGCTTTTATAAAAAAAACTCTTCAAGACGAAAGTGCAATAGACACAATTTATAGATAATGTGCGAGCGTTGGCTTCTTATCCCAAGCATGAGTCTTTTTAAATTTTGGATATATCTACTATTTATTAAATGTAAAATGTACAATTACAGTCAATAGTGGACGAGTTGATGAGGCAGAAGAGCGGCAACGGTCCAGCGTCGCCCCGTTGTAAGCGCGGAGGTCTCACGTACCTGCGCCGCGATGGATCCAGCCAAGTTATCACATCCTCTTCCTCCAGCGATACTCTAAGTTCAGTTGTGAGTATATATTGCTTTTCAATAGTGTAACCTGTAAATCGATTTTATAATTTGGACGTAAGTAATATGTTATAATTTCTTATTCAAATGCTAACTTCATCTGCCAGTAGTATTGTGAATATTCTCAAATGAATCTATGCGAACTACTTGGCACCAAACGTTCTTGCTTTTAGTTCTCGTTTCAGAATTTTATAGGTAAGGGAGTGTCCCTCCCCTCACATGGAATTTAGTCTATAATTTTTTATGTTGTGTTCATGTATTTTGCTTCATTTACGTGTATATATAAATATGTGAGGAGAAAACTTTGATCCACTTTTTATCCATATTGCACTCATGAAGAAGTTTAAAATTTGCCATAGTAAAGTTTATATGCAGAAGTGCAAAAAACTAAAAATTGTATATAAATTTATAATTGAATAATTAATGTGTTAGAAATGCGTTAAAAACATTCATTTTTTACGTTCATACTGCCAATGTCAAGCACTTATTAGTTTGTGGTTAAAAAGTTGTAAAGAATAGAGATTGTTACCAAAGAATTTTGGAATTTGAAATGAGTTGTGAATTTTGTGTGATTTCAAATTTTCCTTTTTAACAATCAGTGGAAAGGCAAAAGTGTTTATTTTATGTTTTGTTTATAATATTTTAATTACGGTCGAATTTTGACCACTATTCGACTACTAGAGTCAAAAAATGGCTAAGCGTTAATATTGATGCAGATATCACTATTGAGTGACACGCAGTGATTCTCATTACCCATCGTCACGGCAGGGAAGTCAGGGGGAATCGCGGTATTCATTTATTTATTAGAGCACATCAAACTTACCGCAGAATATAAGGTATCTCATACATTGCCCTATAGGGCGTATATTTGCCATAGTTGCCACGCTTGCCATATTATAGTTGTAGCAAGAATGATTCGACTCGACAGGGGAAGCACCACGCTCTCAAAAAATAAACCAGCGTAAAATAGCAGCTCAATGCTGCTGTGTTTCGTATGGTGAGTGTAGAGAACTGGAGACTTTTTACTGGATAGGAGCCATTCCATCTTCGACCTCAGGGGTGACAACGCATCTGCATTTTCTTTCTTAATCGAGGATAAATGTAGATGTCTATGGACCACAGCATCCACTTACCTTTAGGTGGGCTGTGTGTTAGCTTGTCACCCTTATTCTATAAAAAAAAAACTTAACATTGGAACACAACTGGGAAACTAAATCTTAGAAGCGAGAACATAGTCTACCTTGTGGTAACTGGATGCTATATGGCCCACAGACACCAAAACACATCTATACACTATAAAAAAACAAAATGCATTTGTTTTATAAGTTCTCCACCCTGGAAGTCTTGAATGAAATAACTCGTTATCAGTACTACGTCCTCTATTCGTTATCGGTAGTGGAAAGGGTATCCATTCCTCGTCATTAACCATACATATTATGCTGGTATTTTACACCAGTATTCCATGCAAGCGTGGTCTTTTTCGGGTTAAGCTGACTCATTCGTATTGCATCGATAATTCAGCTGCATGGTGTGTCTTTTTCTGTGGAATATAGAATTTATTTAGTCACCGGTGATATTTTGAAGTTAGAATTTGTAAGTAATATCAACAGGCTGGGGGATTTTTTGTGGGAACTTTATTGCCAGTGGACGGCTAGTCCAGTCTTGTTGTTTTAATTAGGGCTTCTCAGAATGTGAAATGCGATTATTATAGGGATTCGCTAGGTAATCGTAGGGGGGTTTGCAACAAGAATTACGTAATGGCGGTTGACACGTGCTATATGATGGTCATGGAGGTTAGAGAGAAGGAGAACGATCGCTGTAGAAAATAGTGTCCCAGAGATATGGACAAAATAAGTGAGGCGCTGCGATCGCTAAGTTGTCTCAATAAAAGTGGCCTGTTGTGCGCTAGTTTGAAATTATCTATCAACGTTTAATATAATATCATTTAAAAAAACGAAATTATTATTTTTTATTAATAAATAAATCATAAATTATGTTTTTTATAATTTTAATTATTATAAATATTATAAATTATTTCTAATTTTGAGAATTTACTAACTTGCAAATCTTGTAACTAACCTTAATTTCAACAATTTCTTAAACGTTCAATAAAGATTAATTTAGTAAAAAAACCATGATTAAGCAAATAATAATTTTACGTATTCAATATTTCAATATGCAGCTATGAATCGATAACGTATGAAGATATTACATTTGGTACTATAAATAGGATGACTGACGCAAATTGTTTTTCAGTCTATTTTTCCGATCAGATGCTAAACCACTTGCACATTCACGCACAATACAATATTTCACCATTTTTTAATGTTTCTTTGTATCAATAATTAAAAAAATACGGTGCATGATTATTTTCTCACCAATGCCGCGACGAAAATTTGTACTTGTACTCATAAACAGCTAACTTAGCAGATACTACTTACCGACGGCAGCGCAGCTGGTGGCTGTAAAATGAACTATAAATTCTATACATTTTCATTCATTTTCATTCGGGGACACGCGGGCTATTGCTTTAGCACGTAGCGATCGTCCTCCTACTCTCTAAGCTCCATGATGATGGGGCACACCTGTTCTATTATTATACTATGGTACGGTGCACTCGCGACCAATGACTATCGCGTTTGCTTTCGGCTGCGACGTGACATAGAGCCTATGATGCAGGTTCCGCGAGGCTAATTCAGTGCATATGCATTACCTTATATTCTGACACCACACTAATTAAAACATATTGCTTTTTGGGACTGCCTAATTTAAATAAAAAACATTATTTTGTCGCTAAGCAATTAGGGGTTCGTCATTATCAGGGAAGTTAAATAAGATTATATAGGGCTATAAGTTTAAGAAAACCTGGTTTGAAGGGGATTTTGGTATGTTAAAATGATGCAATTTTATGGATCATGTTTCTGATGGCGATATAAATCTTAAATTATTTTATCCACTTCGGCGCCATAAAGTACTGCTGTGCTTAAGATGCTGATTTAAGGTCTCCAATTATAGGATAATATCCAATTAGTTGATCCCGGTAAATGTATTAATCGTACGACCAAACCTAAGAAGAATATTATTGATAAACAAACGCGATCTAATATCTTATTTATCTATTGACAAACAAGACATAAATTACATTTATAAGTTCTCTCCTGTAGTCGCTTTTACAAACTTCATTAATATGCTAAACTAGATTCATGTCATATAATTTTGTGTGTGATTGAGCCGTGGCGCCGTTATACTATGGTTGTAGCATAAATGGGTCAGTTGACCGGGGAATAACCACGCTCTCGAAGAATACCAGCGTAAAATAGCAGCTTAATGCTGCTGTGTTTCGTATGGTGAGTATAGAGAACCGGAGACACTGTTTATTGGTAACTAGGTAATCTATTTTAGTCCTCCAAGTGGCAACGCATTTTACTGAATTTTGATTCTTAATATCTTAATCGAGATTAGATCGTAGATTTCTGTGGGTCACAACATCCACTTACATCGGTTGACTGTGTGCTTGTTTGTCACCTTTTATAAAAAAATGTACTACAAAATCATTAGTATATAGTAACGTTTTTAGCTAATTTCAGGTAAGTACACGGTTAATGAAATGTATATACGTATTATTTTAGAACGGCGACTCCATTACATCGGGCAGTTCGCGAGAGATATTTTCCGTTCAGAAACTGACTCAAAAGTTCGCCTCGGTTGCATTTAAGAGCGGAAAGGATTGCGTGGAGAATAACGCGTTTGAGGCGATAGGAGATGAAGAACTATGAACTGGTCTCGAAATAATCTTGTAATCTCTCATCATTTTGTAAAGAACTCACGTTGCCAATGATACAGCAGGTGTAAACATTTTAGTATATTCGAATATAATTGTACAGACGTGTACTTTATTATGTATATATTAAGTTTTGGATAAGTTTCAATGGCTATGATCTTTTTTTAAATATTTAATTTTGTATTGTTGCCATCCACTTGCCATGAATTATGAAATATTAGCCGTTCCTAAATTCTAAAAAAGGTATTATTAAACATGTCCACATAAGAAAGTGAATTAATATTTATAATGAAATGAAAGTTTTGTATATGTTATATAAAATTAAATCATCCTCTGAGGTATTATATTTTTAAAAGTCAGAAACTAATATGTTACATACCATTCAATATATGTTTGAAGTAGGCCTAATATTAATTAATTATAGATTTGTTACCTGTCGTTTTAGATTACTGTTGAACAACATTGAAGTATGCTGAGGGTTGTTGGTGTACAATAAAAGTTTCATTATACTTGTCATATAAGAAACTCTAAACGTTATTTATCGATAGTTTTGCTATTAACTTGACAAAATTACTGGTCGTTGAAGCAAAGAAAATGAATGTATTCTCCACTTTGTCGAGTCCTTGTAACAAAATTATTTATCAAATAAGATAGACGGAGCTTCGAGCGTATATATGCCAATATAGGGAATGGTATTACTTTGCTATTCGTTTTCACAGATTATTTCTACATGTACGCATTTTGTTTTGGTCTAAAATACAGCCATTATAAGAATACAAAATAAATAATCATATTTAAAAAAAAATGTTTACCATATTATTATGATTATGTATGAATATTTTAAATGTTATTTGGTGCCATTGTTAGTTTGTTGTTGAAATTCTAAAATTAATTAATGACTTATCCAATTTTATATTTTTCTTGTAACCATTTAAATAAGTATTTTTTGTTAACGAATATTTTTTTCAATCGTAATTAAAGTTGTAATCATTATATAAGGCAAATATAATTTTAAGGTAATATTAAACTAAGTTGGAATTAATAATTCGTTTAGATTTCAGTTATTACATATTTTCTAGGTGTAAATAAATTTCATTTATATTAATTTCTAAGCTCTCATTAATAATAACACAATTTATTAAAAATAAATCAGAATCATTTTTAAATTATCATTACCACGAAAGATCTTTTGAATTTTAAGAAAACTTTTTATTGTTTACAAAGAAAGTCATTACCAATTAATATAAGACTGGAACATGTAGACTGTATTGCTTGAATAACAATGAATAAAAGGTTTTTTTCCCTTTTTTCAAAATTTAAATTTGTGTAGTGTACATGCCTATTAGAATTTATTAGTAAGGCTACATTTTTGAATTTTGTATTAGCGTAATTTTTATATAAGCGCTATGGAATATACAGTGTAATTATTATAAATGATAACTTTCTTGGTTATTTAAATTTATGAATTTCAAATAATGTTTATGTACTAATCGATATCCCATTATTCTCAAAACTTTTTATAACAATTAAGACTCGATAGTTTACGCTAGCTTGTCAAATTATTATGATACTTACACGTGGTTGTTAAACAATTCCATAATGTGCCAATTTTTCGGTTACAGCGACCTTGAACGAATAATTATAGACGTAACTTTTTGGACCCATAAGAAATTCCTAATGTGTAAAATTACAAAAGGCGTTGCATGTTTAGATTTGGCAAATTTAGCTCGTCTATTGTTTTAGAATTAAAAAAAAATATCTAAAAGAAAACTATTCAATGATTCTACTTTTGTATTTATACTACCCGCTGAAATTATGTAAATAAGTATATTTAGTGGAATATGTACATATATGCAACATTTTAGATGTGAAACAAAAATATCTGTTTGTGTACATTTTTACTGTTTTACAGTTTATAAAATAAGTACGTAAATAAAAGATTATTAAGTAGGTAAATAAAATATATGTAGTTTATGTCAGAAACCAACTTGTTGACGTTTATTAATTTGAATTTTCTACTGTTCAACTATAATCAAATCAACATTTGTGTTTTCTTGTTCGAAAAGTTCCCATCAGTTGAATGTTATACCATAAAATAATTAATGCAAATTAATGTACATTTATCTTCATATTTTTATGGGACCACTTTAAACAATGTGTTTGTGTATTTTGTTAATAATATTTTAATATTATTTTTTAATATTATTCTTTATTGTTTATATGGTTATAAACTTATAAATAAACTCCTATTATTTTTTCTTATTATTCAGGATTTTTACATTTTATTTATTTAACTTCGTGTAAACTCCGAAAAAAATATTTTATATTGAAATGTAAGTAATAGAAATACACGCACCAATTTTTAAAATGACTAGTAAAATATTTTTTAAAAGCTGTTATGTATTTTTTTCTAATGCAAGTTAACCCATAACAATTGAAAGTAAAAATAATGTCCGTCAATCATCATCATCATTACAGCCTTTCACAAGTCCACTGCTGAACATAGGCCTCCCCCAAGGTATGCCACAAAGCACGGTCCTGAGCCACCTGCATCCATCGACTTCCTGCATGTCTTACCAGGTCGTCACTCAATCTAGTGGGGGGTCGCCCTACACTTCGCCTACCGGTACGAGGCTGCCACTCGAGAACCTTTTTCCCCCAATGGTTGTCGGTTCTTCAAGCTATATGGCCGGCCCATTGCCACTTCAGCTTACTAATCCGTTACTAGTCCGACAATGGTTTCTGGCAATTGCTGCACGTACTAGTTTATTAGTATTCTCGTAGTAGTATTTGATGAGTTGTGATGAGAAAAAATAATCGTATTTTAGAGTTCTATCTAAAGAAATGTGACAATGTGAATGGATTATTTAACAAGTTAATCTAAGACAAGTCCAGTTAACATAGACCTTCCCCAAGGTATGCCATAAAGTATGTGCCTGAGGCCCCCTAAATCTCTTACCAGGTCGTCAATGGAGTGACTAATGAGAAGCCGCCCAACACTTAGCTTACCAGTTACGAGACTTCTAATGGAGAACCTGCTTCCCCATCGGTTGTCGGTTCTTCAAGCTATCCGGTCGACTTGTTGCCACTTCAGCTTATTGATCTGTTGCGATATGTCTCTCAATCTGTTTTTAATCCTGGAATTTCCTCTTGTACGGCCAGCTGTGTAGGACCCACGTCTTAGATCCACTGGTAACACACACTGGTTATACACTCCGTTTTCAAATTTTGAGGTACATATGTAACAAAGATGGGTCGTAATCTACCGAACGCTGCTCAGCCGAGTTGGATCCGTCGATTGATCTCGGTTGATATTGTATTTACCAAGTCATGTAATATAGGAAAGATTTTAATAAGAAGACACATTGATCCTTCTATAACTTTATACTGCTCACTCGTTTTTAGTTACATCATTGTTAGTCAGGGATTGAGGCTCAAAATGTGGGCACAACAAAATTTAAATTAATTAATTGTATACATAATATTGTTGTACCATTTCAAGATCAGGTAGAAAATATAAGGGTTGATTCCAACTATTATACTTTATTTCACTTTCTACAATACTATCTCGAGTCCAGGTAGGAAACAAACGGTAGATTCAAACTATTACACTTTGGTTCACTTTACAATTTAAACTTATACAAAATTCAACTTCACTTCACGTCTTACTGCGACGATTCGCGTTGAGCTAATGCCACTCTCCATTTTACTAATCAACCTTTAGCACTTGTTAGCAAGGTGGGGCGGCGTCATTTCCGCCCCACTCTTTTACAGCAATCAAAACATTATCCTTCCGGTTACATTATATTACTCTATCCATTATCCGCAATCATTAATGTAAGTAACTAATAATTATTATAATATAAAGTCAAATCACTTATCGAGTAATTCCGTTATAAACAATAATATAGTGGTTATTAATCTAACAATAGCAATTATTAACCTAACAGCTCGGCCATCCTACTCAAAGCGAGTCCCATCGCTTCTACACTTAAAAAAAAAACCCGCAAGTATAAAAAGAAAGTAACGAAATTACGTTTTTTTTTTTTTTTTTTACATTTAACATATCCTAAACTAGACTAAGCATGATAGATATAAATACAATATTAATCAAAATAATAAAATCAAAATTTAAAATTGACCTTCCGTCATAAAATCTATAATTGGTATTAAATGCACAGTTATCTTTTTTTTATGTTTGTATAATATAACCAATGAATATCTAATTTTAACTATTCAGTGTCAACTGTATTATTATCAGTTGAATCAGACTCAAAATCTCTATTGAAATTCATCCACGGATGAATTTTGTCAATTGACACTATAGCTTCATATTTTCTACTGTTTTTACGGGTAAGCGGCGTATCTTCAACTAGAAATCTGTCATTTGGTAGCACTTTTACTATGCGATACGGGCCTTGAAATTTAATTACAAGTTTTTGTGATTTTCCGTCGTGTGGGACTTGCTTTTCTAAATGTATTAAGTCACCTTCATTGTATTTAGTTGCGGGCTTTCTACGTTCATTAAATCTTTTTGCATCTTCAATTTGTTGTGCTTTAATTTTTGTACTAGCATCTTGCCTAAGTTCGACTAACTTTTCTAATGGAGTTCCATTTAATGTGTCATTGATAACAGAGCTTAGGATGCCTTCTGATTTACCGGTTATATTAAATCCAAAAAGTAACTCAGATTGGGACCTTTGTGTAGTTTTATGCTTAGTTGTATTTATACCGACTTGAATATCCTGTACATAATTGTCCCAAGATTTATCGTCTTTACCATGTCCAGATGCCGATAAAGCATCTAAAATGGTCCTATTAAAACGTTCTACTTGACCGTTAGCTCTTGGAGTAGCAACGGCATTTGTGATGTGTTTGATACCATAAGACATAATAAAATCCTGAAAAATTTTACTCGTGAAGCTAGTTCCCTTATCGGTGATCAGTCTCGTGGGTACGCCGAAGTAACTTATGTGGTTTTTAATAACTTGTATG